TATGATGGTCAATCTTCTCAAACGTGGGTGTTACACACAAGACGAGCGTTCTTGCCAGCTAGCTTGAACTGAAACATTCTTCCAACAGATCGAGATAGAGCTCTTCCAATTATCAAAAATCTTATTTCGGAACTAGAAACTAATATTTCATAGTACTCACCGGTTTAGAGTACGGATGTGTGGTTAAATCGATTTTGTCTTCTTCAAGTTTATCGTGCAACATCATCTTCAATGAAACTGGGGGGTATGTATCACGCTCGGGCTGCGCTTGTAAGGGTTCGATGTCACCTCCTTCAAGGACAAAGTACACAGCGGTGCCACTCTGTTTTAGGCGTTCAACAGCATTAAGAATGTCTGTCCTATCCTTGAAGTTCCTAACACCAATCGCATCCAAATCCTCCTTCCCAATCTCTTTACAAATTTCGAGTTCATCATAGCCATTATCCAGAAAGGCTTGTGTGTAGTGAATAAAACCGAGCGATCGAAGCCAATCTTCTACGGAGCTACTCATATCTTATCTCGCTCGAAAGTTATGAACATCTCGAAGAACACGAATAGGATAATCCGAGAGTTTAAAGTGACATACGGAAGACCACAGAAATCGATCAAAAAGGCGGCAGTTCTCAAATCGTCAGCCTTTGCGTCGCTGTGAAAACAACTAAGCACTTCCGATGCTTTGGCAGCCTGGCCTCCGCATCTGCGAGGCCACCAAGTAAGATGGCGGAAGAAGTCCAAAACACTGGTGATTCCAAGCTTTTGGTAGAGAAGGATGAAAGTGAAGGTCCTATTCTGAAATTTAGTCTTGGAGAGATGATTTAATTATTCAGGTTTACTGAAATTGTGCAGTCTCTGTGTCTAATGTGCAGGCCACACCACGCTAAAGGTCCCTTCTTCGGGTGAGAAAAGAAAGCTTTCCGAGACTTCTGCAACTCCCAAATTCACCGTCAAACCAAAAATCTCGATGAATATTTCCGGTTCTCAGCAGAAGAAGACAATTGGAGTCAGCTTAAAACTGGTAAGTGTTTACTTTTATGAAAATGTCTTCCTCGGAAGTTCGGCCGACAGTTACAACAATGGGCATTTGTATGAAAAACAGCACCGATCTCACATGCTTCAAGATTATTGAAGAAAGCACGCGGACGGTCACGCGGAAGTGGTAAAAAATAAATATCCTTTAAGCGGTTTAAATTTTATGTTTTAAGAGCCATGAGGCGTCATTAAATTGTAACTGTCTGCCTACGGTAAGCTTTTGGGTACAAGAGCTTGATTGTACAAATTATCATGAACTGTGTCAATACTATTTTTTCGGTCGATGTATAGCTTCACCCGTTTCAAATTGGACAAAAACGCTTGCAATAAATGAAAATAAATGTAATTTCTCATCAGTATTGTAATACTCTTGGTTAACATTTAATACGCTCTAATTTTCAGGGATCTGATCCAAAAAAACAAAAGACAGAATCAGCATTGGTCGAAAAGAAGGGGTCTGTCGCATCTGCATTTAATGAAGAGGTATCTCTAACTTGTAGATTGAACTTTACTGGCCTAACTTTGTGATAAACATGATTAACCAGCAAATATTGTTGGCCTTTAAATATCTTCTAGGAGAGCCTTAACTTGACCCTGTGCAATGTACATTGTAAATTAACCTTTTCACTCTCGAATCTCATTAGAGGTTCTCCTTCCAGTCTACCTTACAGTTCTTATGATCTTAGTTCAAAATATTTGGTATTGGCTCAACTATTTTTCTTTTTCCTCATCACTCGTTTGCTTGATATTGTTTTGACATTGTGAGGAGAAATTCTGTCATAGTCACTTAAGGGAGTTAAATGGTTAAAGAATAGACATAACACCAGACTTCATAGGGGTTTAGTTTAATTTAGAGTAAGGTGAATTTTCTATGGAGCCTGTTGCACTTACTGTATGTCTTATTGTTGATGGTGAATTTTTGTGGCCACTACCTCTTATAAGAGGCAAAGCCACATATGTCCTCTGGATTAGTACATGAGTGAGTGTAACAATAGAATTCCAATCTCGACCCACTGCTACTTATTGCTTGTTTTGGAGTATCTTAGTTGTTAGACAGTTGCACTCGGTACACAGTTGAGTGCTCTTCTTTTGTGATTTGTGGCTCATAGCCACAAGCACATTATGTTTTCAGTTTTTGCTGTGACACTAAAAGAGACAGCAGAAGACAATGAACATCTCACAATCATTTCAGGATTGTGGTAAAGTTTTTTCTTGCAGAAAATTTATATTAGGTGTGATTGATCCATCATGAAACTTAGAGGAAACTTTTTTCTTTGAAGAGAGAGCATTTTGCTGTTTAAATCAGCAAATTATGTGGAATGGAAGATATGATCTTTTCAGTTCTTGCTGTGACACTAGTAAGAAAAGATGATAAACTTCTCAAAATAATTTCACAGTGGCATCCACTAATGCATGATTTAAATCAAAACTTTTCTATGCAGAAATATCTCAATAGATGTGATCTGCACATCATGAAAGCTTTGAGGAAATTTTTCTTCTTTGAAAAGAGAGCATTTTACTGATTGAGTCAGCAACTTATGCCAAAAAGAACCACTAAATTTATGAAGCAGCCGTGAAATATGATACCTTGAGTTAATCAACAGAATGATGGAACAGGGGAAAGGAGGAACAGTGAATCTGTGGAATGGTGGAATATCTTGAAATGCTGAATACCTTTTTGTATGAAATATAAGTCTCAAAATATCAGGTTGCAATAAAATGAGAAAATTATTTATGATTAACAGGCAAAAGTAAAAAAGCATATTGGTGGGTAATCATTGTTGAAGCCCAGAGGATACGATAACGATAAGGCTTTTGACCTTGTCCCTTTAAATTATAATTATATTACTATTGTTATCATTATTATTATTGTTAATGTTATTATTTGTTACCATTATTTATTGGTGGAATGTCAACGTGACCATATTTTTTAATCATCTTTCTCTTGTGGATCAGGGTATTCATAAGTATGTGTTGTGTGGCAGGTTTTCTGTTTTTCATATGAGGCAAATCAAATAGTCTGTAACCCTACCTTCTAGTGTCATTATACAACCTCTAGTTCTCTTCATTGCTATTAAAATTTTTATTGCATGGGAATTGTGAAATTACATTTAAATTCCACATACAATTTCATCTTGTATTTTATTTTGGAATTGTTCTCAATCTTAAGGTTAGTAGCAAGTAGTTTGTTTTCTAAGGGCTTTGAAAGTGTTAAGCCCTTGGAATGGGTAAAAGGTAATACAGATCTTTTGGTTCAAATAGTTCTTTAATTTGAACTTTCAAAGTATTGTTGGATTCTTGGTTGTGTGTGTCTTAGATTATCATTGTGAATAAGTATATTTTGTGTTCTTTAGCAATACACTTAACACTTCAATAGGGATTCCCTCACTGGATCCCGGCAAACTGTTAGACGGGGAAACTGGGTGCAACTCTGAAATTAACTTACTGAGGGGTAAATCCTGGGTAAACTTTGGCAGGGCTTGTAAGCCTATGTGCAGACCTCATTCATGGGTTGCAATGACCTTTTCCATAAGTGGCTGCCAATGGTGTTCCGGGTGGCGGTAGACTGACACTAACTGTCTTTGATTTAAACCTCTACCTTAGTTATCTGATTCTTGCTTTTAAGAGCTCAAAAGTCCTTGTTGGATGAAAAACTTTCTATTTTGTAATGTGATACTACTTGGCTTATCATTTCTTATAGAGTGATGACGAAGAAGAGATGCCGGCAGAAGCTAAAATGAGAATGAGGAATGTAGGGAGGTACAGTGTTAGAGTCACATCTTGTGAATTTTATGGCAGACTGGTTGCCTGAGTTTTAATGTTTCCTAGACTGAAGTCAACAAATAAGTCCCTTCTACTGACTTTGTTATCTTAATTGTGTAATACTCCTGGGTGCCATGCAGTAGAAATCAGAATAAGCTCTGACTGCACAGGCTATTTGGCTCAAGTAAAGACTTCACCCTTACTTTCCACCGGAAAAGTTGTCCTTCTCTCCCCCTAAATATTCATGATAATTGCATCTGGAAATAATATTAATTATTTTTTCCATTCTGTATTTTTCAGAAACACTCCCACATCAGCAGGGCCTAATTCTTATAACAAAGGAAATAAAGGATTTACAGATCATCGGAAAGCAGGCGAAAAGAGTTTTAAACTAGAACACCCATCAAGGTCCAAGGAGGCAAAACAATGAAACGTGATGTTATACTTCAGCACACTTCTTTCCATATAACTTACCTTGGCCAATATGAGGTTTGCCTTCTATTGGTTCCTTGCTTCAGTTTCACAAGTGAAACTCCTTTCATTAACTGGTGCAAGGTTGGGTTTATTCGATCGTTAATTTTTTCTAGCGGAAGACATAGGCACGTAGAATAACCATTGGTGTCAAAGCTGAGGGGTAATGCTTTGACGGTGTCACGTCTTGAAATGAGACAACACTAAACAGTAACCACATTTGTTGGAAAGAAAAAGACGACAACAGAAACTGTTTGTAATTAAAAAGTTAAACATTGATGATATGCTAACTCATTTTGAAATACCCTGCCCTCCAAGAAAAACAAATTATTGACAGATTGTTTATTTTTTGCCATTATAAAGATACATTTGATCGACAAACTAATCATAAACTTTTCTCTTTAGAAGTCATGTAATGAATCGTGTGTCAACGTTGAAGACAGTTTCAGGCCATCATTATTTGATGAAAAATAGGGAAATAATTTGTTGGTTTCCAAACAATTCGTAATAATGGAACGCTTTTGTATATCTTAAAAGAGAAGGAAACTGCGGTAGAAAGTGTTTGTGTAAAAATCTCAAAACAGGAAGCAAGCTCTATATTTGAATACTGAGGGTTTCTTTCAGCTTTCTGGAACTGAAGCAGAAGATCAGCATAAGAATTACTAAATTTGCAGTATGCAGAACTTTCTTGCCAAGAGGTACCAGACAAGGAACTTCAAAAATATATATTTTTTTTTTCATTCTGTTCAAAGAGAAATTCTAACTCTTTTTTTTCACTATCCCCTTCGTATTCGTGGTTGTGGTAAGTGCACGCGGAATTGGGCACGTGTATCCTCGCGTGTATCACATGGGCACGAGTATCCTCGAGCGTAGCGTCACTTTCGGACTCGCTGCACATTCTGTCTCCAGGTGCACAAGTTGAAATTTCTAGCGACTTTTGTCCTAGGCTTTCGACCTAACTGATTCATCCAGTGTACTGAACGAGTGCGACATGAATCTACGCTAGTTTCTATCGCTTCCTCAGTGTCGATGTATTTTCGATGTTACTTCGACTCGCGCAGCTAGGTACAAGGCCTATCTATCAACTTTTTACTCGCGGGGTGTTTAACCCTTTAATTCGCGGAAGTTATGAACATGTAACTTCTTCCTATAACATCCATACATTATCCAGAAAACAGGTAGTGAGAATACTCAAACTTATCAAGCAGAAGTGTTTAACTTGATCTAACACCAAATTCTTGTAACTATTCTATAAGGAATTCCGTAGCAGCTAGAGAGGAGAATTAAGAACCAGATCTTGGGAATTTAAGGCTTTAACATTTCTTCTTTCAAGTTCACCAAATTTTACGTGTTTTCTTCCCAGAGAACGCTGCCTTGAAACAAATACGAAATATGCTTATTGTAAGATTAAAATTATTGTGCTATTGACATCGCCACCTATTTACAAAAGGCTTTCGTGTTGATTTAACCCATTCTTGAGATTGCTCATTCGAGTATTCAGTACCCGAGCTTTACTGTCATGGGAGATTTTCTTTTGAAGACCCAAATACTGAATTAACGCTTTCCTTAGTTCTTTGTTCAGAGCAGTGTACAACAACGGATTGATTGCCGACTTTGAGTACATGACGCAAAGGAATAGACGAAAATAAAATGGTGCAATGTTTGCAGCGGAGAATTTATGTAAAGTTTGAACAACGAAAAACGGTAGCCAGCACAATATGAAAATGCCACCGACTAAAGCAAGCAGCGCTGCAGCGCGAAATTCCTTTCTGCGCGTGTGGGACGCTCGTAACTCGCCGTTCAGTTGAGTGCCTTCTCTCATTTTGAAAATTTGGCGACGCGCCTCTAAAAAAATCTTGGTGTAGCTTATACCCATGACGACGGTTGGAATAATGACCACAAATGTCCACAAGGCCGATAAATAAAGCACTTCAGAAAGATAGTTGTCGTTGGAGACTGCTCCGCTTTTGCAAATGGTGTCAGCTGAGCGCCAGAATATCGGCGGAAGAGAGATCACTATGCTTCCCGCCCAAAGGCCGGCGATGACGTAACGCGCATGCCTGGCTGTCATGACCATGGGGTAGAGAAGTGGTTTTAGGATGATAAAGTACTGGTTTAGAGCAACTGCGCACAAGTTGAAGACCGTGGCGGCACCAAAAAGGACGCCAAAGGGAGTGGTGATGTAGCAGAATGACGGATGAGGATACCAGCGGATGTGTAGAGTGGATAGCATGGTTGTAGGCATCTTGAGAGCGGAGTGAAGAAGATCAGACACGGAGAGGCTCACCAGGAAACTGTAGAGGACCGTGTGAAGATTTCTTCGCTTGTAAATCACAAGACAAACCAGGGAGTTAGCGATCACACCGACAATTATCACCAGGGCTAGGAACACAGACTGAATAATGATCCCTGATGAGATGTTCTGCTCATTTGGGATCCAATCGGATAAATTCGACCGTGTCGTTGAATAGTTCAAAGTGAATGAAAAATTGAGTCTCCTCATTCCTGTGAAGAGAATCATGGATGTTAGTTTAGCCATTAGATACCAAACCGACCTGTTTTTCAAAGCAGAAGACTCACTCCTTCGAACAGTTTGATATCGTGTACTTCACGTAGGTAAAATCGGATCCAATTGATAAAGAACTGCGTGTGAGCTAATCTGAAAATGCTGATTCCGACCATAGAGTAGAACAACTGAAGAAAATTTCCAAAAATAAAAACAGATTACTCCATCTATTTTCTCCCGGCGCTTTTTTTTCCAAGGTTATTATTTTTTTACGAATGCTGTCTTCGTTTCCTAGCCTGGTGCTCGGTTGCAGAATTGTTTTTCATAAATCGTATTGTTGTAAACCATTTCAGAAAAAAACCTGCTTGGAAGAAACTGTACGAATTGTATTATTTTGTGCGAGTAATTAACACCTTCATGTCTGTTGTGGTAACCCTGTACAATACAGTGCAATCCTAATTAAAACTGGGCGAACGGTGACGTATGCTAATGTATCACGGCTTTCGTCGAAGAGATCAATCGTATTTACAAAATTCAAACTTCTCCGCAGTTATAAAGAAATATTCGCGACAATTTTGTCGCTCGAACGATGTGCGTGACATTTAAGTTCAAAGGTGAAGTCGAGGACTCTCTTTTTTTTTTTTTTTTTGTAACTTTACGGCTTTTTGTTTTCTGTTGATTTTTGTAGAACGGAATCGCAACCAAATTCGTCCAATCGTCGTGAGAGTTTACAGATATGAACTACGCGCAGAAAAAAGGCGTCTTTGGTAGTAAGCTTTAATTATCAATTTCTTTCCTTTGTTATGATTTAAGTGAAACTAAGTAGTCAAACCAAGTCTTGCCTTTGAGACTTAGCCCTTCCTTCAAGTTTTGAAATCGAGAGAAAGATAATTTGCACGGAGTGTTCCCGCTGTTCTAACAGTCTTAGGCTTTATAAGTCTCTCTAGTTGGTAGTGAAACTCACCCTCTCTGTTCTGATGTCCGAGAAACTTTTAAAACTCCTTTTGCTGGTAGGAAAGCGTCGATTAGTGCAACAAGATGAAAACCATTTGTTTGCATGAATGAGGTGTTTCATTCCACTCAAATACTAGGTATTAGGACAGGCGATTAACATATCGGCCGCAAATCTCTCGGGGTTTAATTCACGAGTTAGTATTTTTCAACAAAAACTTTTCTTTTCGTTTTGAAACTTGATAGCACATACGTGAAAATTAGATGTGGTCTAAATTGTGATCAGGAAAATTGAAAGAATTTTTAACAGAGGTTACTTTATTAAAAAACGATGAAAAAAGAGAACTTTCAGAATGAAAATTAATAAACATGTTTTTTTTTTTGTCTTCTCTCGTCAATATAGAATACGTCATACTAATTAAAACAAAGACAGGATTTGAAAACTTAACTCAAGCGGCCGTCATTGGAAGGATTACAAATATGTTCGCTTAACAGGTGCCAAAATTTATCAAACACCCTTAAAAACCTTACATATTAACTTAACAGGGAACAATTTGTAGAGGAAAAGCGTTATATGTGACACTGATTTTAGATTCAAGCTGTAAAATTAAAAAAAAAAAGGAAAAATACTTTAATGATGATAATCGTTGCTTGGTCAGGTTTGTGTTAACTGAATTATCATAAATTAAATTTCAGTTTCCGCACACACCCTAAATGTTGTGGTAGTCCTTCGCATTTAGGCTCTGGTAGAGTTATGTAATTGCCTTGCACAGTTGCCGCAAAATGACCCATAACTCGGTACGAAACCAATAGCATTTTACTGACAGTGCTGTTTATTGAGTCAACGACTTTCCAAATAAATTTCTCTGCGTCAGTGATGTTTATTTGGTCTCACCTAACCGGTGTAATAGCGAGACAAAGGAGTTGGGTATATACCAAAAACGAATAGGGAAAATCTTGGATCAAGCTTTTCGCTAGCATTTCAGCGGAAGGCGAGAATTTTATTTAATTGGATCTTTGATTAATAAGGAAAAATAGTAAACTGGGACGGCAATGAAAGCGCAATCTGAAAAAACCTTCACGTAGTGATCACGAGATAAGATAAGAGAATTTATCCCGCTCATAATACTCGAGAATGTTTATATTTCCCGCTGGACAAACATCCATGTTTTATCAACCGAGCTTAATGGATTCTTCACGGGAAAAGAAAAAAAAACTGAACTCAGCTGCGGAGGCCAAGTGTAAAGCGGAAAGTATTTTAGTTTTGGCTAAGTTAGCTCTGCAATCAAATCAAATATTTAGAGATAAGCATACAGAAAGGCGCGTGATATGTTTTTTCTCTTTTTTCCTCGCTCGTGAAAATATTGTGGAATCACGTTGTGAGAGCAAAGTAAATTTTCATTTCCAAGAAAAACAATGCCTTGTTGAAGATGACAGGTGTTCGGCGCGAGAAGAGAGTGAAATGAGGAAATCACCGATTCCGAGTCGTTAATGACGAGAGCGTTTGTGAAAAATCACAGTATATAATATCGTGGCCGAGGTGCGTGGTCATTAACACGCTTGAAAGTTCCAACCACTAAACTATCTCAGATTTAAATTAATTTTGACGATCTTGAACCTTGTGTATACGGTATAATAGAATGAATCAGCTTATCGAGTTGGACGCGCCATCGTCGAGTCTAGAATAACAATCTAAACCTTCTTGATAGTTTTCCTCTGCAGCAATTTTGTCCGCGCGATTCTGAATCAAGGACTCTTCTTTCGCTGAGAGTAAGGTGTTCCAAGAATTTCCAGGCATTTATATCGTTAGATCTGGCTTCACAATTCATCATTTTATTCAATAATAACGTTGTAAAGTAGCGGTAATAATTACTTGAAATTAACGTCCAAAAAAGGCGGCAATAAGAGCTACTAGTCCGAGTTTTGATATTTATCTAACCATAGAGGCTTTGATCTCGAAATTTGTAATTAGAGGCTGGTTAACGCCCAAAATAATGATTTATCTTCTTGAGAAGTACTTAAGGTAACGAATTAGGTTTTGATTTTCCTAAATTGTATTCTGAAAAATGGGGTTTTGAAATGCCTGATTTAATGAATTGTTTCGTAATGCCAGTCTGTCATTGTTATGATAAACGAAGTGTATCTTTGAGAACTTTCCACTCGAAACGCAAGCGAATCTCGGCGACGCTAACAACATTGTAGACAAACCTGCACAGGACATGGTTAAACTAAACATATATGAGTCTTTTTGGCATAATTGCTTTTCTGAAATCATTATTTGCGGGGAAACAAAAAGACCAAACGTTCGTCTGTTTACTTATCTTCAATTACGGTTGCTAATTTTCCAGATTTTTTTTTTGCTGCTATATGTACACTGATTACACAACAGCATTCAACTTTCAAGATACCGCTCATTTACGAGCTAGATTTTCTTTAATTTACAACGATTCATTGTTGCTGATTCCTATTTAAAAATATTCCGCCCCTGGAAAAAGTTGGGCCATTACGTGCGCAAACTGTGGTAGATCGTCTGTGAAATAGGCCATATCGTGCTGTTTAAGTACAAAACATGACATATATACCTTTGCGCTCAGCAATTGACTACCGAAATATTGAGTTTTGCCGTTGACTAATCAAAATATTATCGGAGGGACAAAAAGTATTTATTGAAGAATACGAAGTCATAAATTTTGCGCCGAATTATTTAACAGATCCGCCTCAAAGTGGTGCAAATGAAAATGTGTTCAGAACAGGCGGGACACAGCTTTGTGCAAAAGCTGATTTAAATTGTGATTTTGAATTACAATATGAAGCTTTTGATAGCTCGATAAACACAAACGTTTTTTTGTACATCTGCAAGATTGATGATTTGTGCTGCGATCAAAAGTGAATCGATCGAGAATTAAACTGTCTGTTCTGAACTCGATGCATCTTCTTTCTTCTGTGGCAGTTAATGTACACAACGAGACCAGATTTCGGATACTTCAGGATTTGACAATTTAATTGCATAATGCAAAAATTGAGAAATGTTTTCGAGTTTCCGCGCTGAAGAAGTCTTTTGATATGATATGAAATTTTTCCAGTTTACCGTGAGGGTTTAAAGCGCTGTTCAACGAGGAGTCAGCCAAGCGAAACGCTTACATAATTGAATAAATAACAGTTACATTTTGACGGAGAGGAAATGGATAACATTTTGATAACTTCTTTCTTACCTGTTTTGTCTGCGATCAGCTCTATAACAAAGTGAAACTAGTTGAGACTGTGTTGATTTTAAAGATTGTTCCCTTTGCTAGATACGAGTTCGGACCGTGAAACGCCTCACTGAATAACACTGCAATCATCTAAACTCTCTTGAAGGCTTTGGCGCTGAACGGAAAAACAATCAGAAAAGGCTCTCGGGAAGTTGAGGGCATGAGAAAAATAAAAGTTTTTAAATTCGCCAGTAGAATGGCGCGACAGCTGGTGTCCGAGTTTAGCGTATCAAACTCGGTCGCTTACGTTGCAGTAAAGACCCATTGAAAAACAAATGAGACTTTGCAATTCTTTTCAATAGATCCTCCAACCTCTTTCCGTCTTTGCCTGTGTCATTGGCTCGCAAGAATTTATTGATGATACGGTGAAATGTTTTTCTGTCACCAAGGATAGGTGTAAACATTTGTAATCGATCTCAAGCCCGACTGAGTATCTCGCGCACGGAATATACTTACCTCAGAAAACTAGCTCGTTTACAAGGTAAGAAACTGAACATGGCCGTAAAAAGTCAGAACCAGCCGTCGGAAAATACAATCTTTCGTAGGCTGAAGCTTATGTCAACCGCAGTCTTGTTGCTGTATAAGACGGCTTTTTACACGTCTGTTGAAAAACATACTTTACAACTCAGAACAATTACTCTTAGAGTAAGTTGAAATTTGCATACAAGAGTCTGAGGACCGCCTTTCAAGCCGAGAAAGATTATTTTAGGCGGTCAATTTGCAGCAAAATAGAAGGTACAGCTTTTAACTTTTCGAGCAAAACAATAGACCCTCCTCGCTTCAATCGTAATCTCTCACCTGGAAGTGAAAGTCTTTTGAGTAGTTCGTCTTATGATCAACGAGTTACAATAGTTGTTCCGTTCCGTTCTGTTCCGACGACAGAAATATGGAGGTAGTACTTCGAGCTAGTACCCGATACTTCAAATAAAAATAAACTCAAAGAATCCGCGATATATATCGGCCATAACTGAATTTCAATACGAAGTTTTTCCGCAGTTGGGACGCACAGGCATACTCCGAAGGAGAAATTTTGATTCCCAGATTACACAGACCATTGATTTCTCTTCCTATGGAAACCAGCTTTCATATGCTCAAGGAGCAATTACTTAAACAAATACCATGGTTAGTTAATGCTAAACACTTGATTGGTTTAAGGGTAACATACGGTGGTCTCATTAAGCAAAGTCGGATGTAGTGAGTGCTTTCATAATAATATCACACTTTTTGCGGTATTCACTTTACATTTATAATAAGAAGTTATCATTAGTCGCATTTCTAACCTTCTCTTACTAATGCCGAATACTGAAAACACTCATATAAGGCCGGCAGTATTAATGGTATATATTAACATTAAAAACGTATTGTTCTGGTTACATTTACAAGTATGAAGCACAAGTATCTCGACTGTATTCTAGTATTAGATGAATCAAATTCCTACATGTTCCATTTTAGATCAGTCTGATTTTTTTAAGGTTTTGATGATTTAATTGGGAGTAACCAATCAGGAAAGAGATTAACGCCAGAGGAGATGGGGAGAGATAAAATGGTCCGCGGATCAGTGGATTGTGCATCGCGCAGAATGAGGCGACATCATCCGGGACTTTCGTGCGTGACGCACGCTACATTGAAATCGACCATGCATTTCAGACGTCAAGACTATAAAGAAAATGTCCTGAAAATGGCTAACAGCGCGCACGTTTCGCAAGCTTGTGAATTAAACACTTTCGCTGTTGAAAAGTTAGCATATAGGTTTTGTAGAGAATTCTTGGCTTTGAAATTATTGTAGATCGCCGAAAGGTTGAAAATTTTGGCTCGTCTCTACCCTAGGTCCTGTCTCTAGAAGTTCGAAGTTTGGATTGCATCTTTTGTTCTCGGTCGGCATTATATTTCTTTTTGCAGTTTTCGGCATTAATAGGGGAAGGTTAGAAAACATTTTGTGCCTTAAAGACTTTGATATCTTGTCAATTCAGTTTCAAATGTGCTGCCAGGCTCCACTGGCCCCTTTGATTTTTCAACTCAGCCAGTATTTTGATTTCCCTTTTTCAGTTTTTAGGTTTTTTTTCAGTTTCGCGTGTGCTAGACAAGAAAGAGTAAGATAAATTTTGTAGTTTTTGTACTATAAACCTTTTACACTACTTACTCGAACAGAAAGAAAGACAGTAAACTTGGAGAGGAAACTAGGTTCTGAGGAAGAAAAGGAAGTGAATTTTTACGCTATACTATTAACCATACACACTACTTCCTCCAATAGAAAGAGAGACAGAAAACTTCGAGAGGAAAACTAGATTCTTAAGAAGAAAACTAGGTGAATTAACCCCACCTTTATATTAAGTTACTCGAGTCCGGATTTCAGTAAATATAGGGCACGATCGACGGATCTGGCGCCGAAATATAACGTGGATTAGTGGAAATGCATAGCAGTAAATAACTCGCTCCTAATGGACTCGGTTGTGTCAGGGTAGATCATTCAACTGAGCCCTTGCAACAAATATCTTTGCACAAGAGGGGTTTGACTGTCCTTTCAAGTTTTTAAGCAAGATGATATACGAAGATGCTGTAAATAAATACTTTACTTAATTTAAATATCATTACTGAAATAAACAAACTAAACTCTCTCTGGTAACATCATTTTCACTAATTTACATTGCTGTTTCACTTAAACTCGAGAGTTGTAGAAGAAAATCAAAGGATAAATGCAATTTTGTGGCCCATGGAACACACGTGATTTTCTTTATCTACCATTGGCCTATTTAACACACAATCTTCTCTTGTTTCATTAATAATCTTGTTTTTGTCTTGTGGTTGCTCTTTTGGCGAAGGTTGTAAAGACCAGCAAGTTAGATTTACTTTCTGCATTGATTGCCATATTAAATATCCGTTTCTTTCCTTTTCGAAGTTCTCCACGAATTACATATTGTGTTTAAACGTTATTTTCCCGATGCAATTAAAGCGTTGACTTGGCACCATTGACTAGACTTTCTCAGATGAGTGCCATATTCCAGTATACAAGTTAAATTTTACGACATAATCCTACCGCACGGAAAAAAAATTCACGTGGAAGTAAAAGTTACTGTTAGTCAATACTCCACGCATTTTTCACGTGCTTAGACGTTTTATCACATATTCTGCAAGTACGGAGCAAAGTTCAGATAGGCAATAACCAAATTAGGAGCCCACGTTGTTATGCCTACGTGAAAGAGACCGTGAAACATCTTCGGTTAGAGGCTATTGGAGCTAAAATAGATTTCGGTTCGTTTCCACAACAAAATTACGTGAAAGAACATTTCTGAGGCAACTAGCTTTAACTGAATAATTTTGATTTTGATCTGACGAAGGAACAACAGTAACCATAATGTAATCTTAGCCTCCGAGCAGGCCGTTGTTTGGTCTCAATTATTCGGACACCAGTGGCAATAGACCATAAAATAAGTAGGTCTGAGTTTATTTCAGATAGATTTGTTTTGCTCCTCATTGAACGATATCGAATTAAAATGTGCTACGGGCAAATGCTCTTTTTCTCTTACAAAAATGCACACATCACTTACTAAGCGTTTCATTCCAAACCACCCATCCGAAAAATAACTCTTGCATGCGTAGTATGCCTATGTTTTGTTTGTGTTGTCGTTGCGCAAAGTAAAACGGCTCGCGGGGGATTTTCGTCTCGCGCGCAGAATCGGCAAGTGGAAAGTCCAATTAAATTTAGTTCGATCGTTTTGTCTCCTAAAGAACAGAATATTGTTTCGCGTATTCACTGATAATATTAACTTTTTTTCCAAAGAAGACCGGTCTCCTTAAAATTCTGTTCCCTCTTAGATTAACGATGAACGTCAAAAAAAGTCTTGAGTTTCAGTCTAAAAGACGGGCAATCAAGAAAAAAAAACTATCAAAGAGACAAACTTGAAAGACATATAGATACAAAACACGATTTCCTCTTCCTGTAAGTAAGTCAATTCGTTCTCAAGACAGCACTGTCGCAAAAATTGAAAATTATCGATGGGATTTTTGTCACTATCACAAACGTACGGAAGGCAAAACAAAAAGGGAATTAAGTCTCTCTTTTGACAATTTTCTTATCGTTACTGGTAATTTCCTTGATTTCAACAAAGCTTTGAAAGTGGCTGCTTTTTCCAAAGTGCAAATTCTAAGGAGTTAGGCTCATTAAGCCCTCTCATTCAATATGTGAGTGACGTACTCAATGGAGTAGTCCTCTAATGAATGGGAAATGAAGGTTCTGTATATAAAAAGTTTTAAACCTCTCGTTTAATGTAATAGGCTCTTAAATTAATAAATTTCTTCCAAGACAAGAGAAAATGTTTCAGTCATACCAAACAGACAGTTTCACCACATTGTGTTCGAAAAGAAACCTTCGAAGCAGCCAAATTGAGATTCCGAATACGATCATACCCAAAATATTCCCTCGAAAAAAAGATCTTGATTTCTTTATTCAACCGAAACCCAAATGTTTACCATATTGCGTGTAGATATTCTTGGCGTCCATAGCTTTTCAGCGGCTGAAATCTCCAAATGGGAAGATAAAATCCTCTGAGACGCAAAATATTCCCTAGTTAACAATCTTATGTAGGTGGACCTTAATTTCCCTGATACCACCAGCGGTCTCATGATGTCGCTAAACTAAAGTTTCTTATCTCACTCTCACCGGTACGCGTTTAACAAAGAGGAGCGCTGTTGGAGGTTGAAAATAACATCCTGTTCAGATGAAGACAATGTCAGACATGGCATTTTAAGTAGAATTTGCATAACGCTATTTTTCCATTCTAAAGGAAACATATGTCGAGGAGATTATTACCGACTTGGTTAGAAATGGTGACAAACGCTGAACGGAAGGACATACGCCGTCAAAGTAACATGTTTAAAAAGTTGTTTGTGCCGGGTTCAAGAACATGATCGGCCGTCCAACTGAAGAGATGGAGGTTTTAGTTGTAAGGTCATTTTCAATTGTTATTTCTACGACTTAGTAAGAATGAACGCCAATAGAGACTTTTGCAATCTGCAAACAGACGTTGCAAGATATTGATGATTGACGAGAGTTAAGCGTTGCTGGAACAAAACTTGCCTCCCAGGCGTTGATCTGATTGAGTATCTTTTTTTTAGGACTCATGTAATATCGACTTCTTCAGTCACTTTCTCTTAAAACATACCGGTAAAACTGTAGTTTTTTTCTTCTCACTCAGCGAGCTTGTTTGGAGAAGGAAGTAGCACCAAACAAAGCAATGTTTTTAAAAGCTGGAACTGCTATCAAGAGAACCGTTTGTCAAAGTAGCACCGATACAGAGAGTAAAGGCAGTACACAAGTCTGGTCAGTTGCCATTTTCGCCTCACAAACGCAGTTGTAAAACTTCCAACCACCAGCTTGGCGAGGTTGGCTGAGTTTGTTTTATTACGGGAGACATTAAGTTATTAAGTTATTCTCACCTTTTTTAATTGCACAACAAATTGGCTCCAGAAGCAGTCTTCCATTCACTCATCAAAAGAAGACATGATCATTCCGTGCAATCCACATACTATTCGAAGTTTTCTGGTGCTTTACTTCACGCACGAGACTAATCACGCTGTCTAAGTTGTTTCTGAACAGCTTGAAACCTTAACCGCAAAAGACCATTGATGAAATGTGAGTGGCGTCGTTAAAATGCTGTAATTAAAACCCATCGGGGGATAAAGAACTGTTGCAGATTGGCCAATGAAATTCCCGAAAATCGCTCGCCGCCAAGAAAGCTGTCCGCCAGGACTTTTCGAGAAAACCTGTCATCAGTATATCTTCCAGTAGGTCATGCAGAGGGGGTACGTACAAGTGCGATTCACGCCAGAAAAAATAAAGAATCTTGGATCATGAAGATTGACCAAGCAAAACTCAAGTGGCGAAACGATTTATGTAAAAATATCATAAAGTGTTTACTACTTCTACGGTGAAGAAACTCTTTTCTGTTTTTCTCGTTTATCTTTTATTGACTAAACGTTGATTAGATCTGCTATAGAAGAATGCTTCGAATCATACAAAAATTCTACTACACATATTTTGAATGATGCTAAAATGCAAGAGATGAGTTAATGTAGATTTAACCCTTTAACTCCCATGAGTGACCAAGACAGAATTTCTCCATACAATATCAATACAATATCATCCTGATTAGTGAAGAGAATAGAGAAAAATACCAATTAGGGGATGATTAATTGATCTAATGCTAAATTCTCTGAATTAACATTATAAGAATCGCATGGTTGACAGTAAGGAAAATTAAAAACTTGGTCCTAAAGGATTAAAAGACAACCAAAAACCTTTCTTAATGCCAATCTCTTCCAATTTTTGTCCCCGACCTGAAGACGATAATTTAACGGTTTTAAAATGCACACTACTTTTTTAAAAATTGCAGCACATAAGCGGTTTGGATCCCATTCAATGTAAAGTCAAAACACATTAACTGCTGAGTATTGTACACATTTTAGTGGAAAATACGGATAACATATTTATCGATATCAAAACTTATATTAGCACTATATTGTCTTTAGTAACAGCGACAGACGATGGAAATTTCATTGCAGCACTTAACGAGTTAATAAACTTTCAATCTTAAGAAAACACTTGAAGTCTGCTCGAAACGTCAACTTTAGAAACTCTTCACAGCGGCCAATTTACATTTTCAATTCGGTTGATAAAACTAAATCATCTCTTATAATAGTTTTATTAAGCTGTATCTTGTTGGTGGGCTGAGCAGGTGGAATAAATAAAACTTCTCTTAAAAGCAACGTGAACTTCTCTGAGAGTCACGGATGAAATACAAGTTTAGAAATGATTCTCACAGGAGAGCTAACATCGGAGAAATATCTGCAATTTTCCTTATTGTAACGCACTTGCAGGGATTTTTACTTTTCTGAATTGAGAATGTTTATCCAACCAAGATCAACAATAATAGGCAGGCTACGATTCATTCAATGAACTAACTGGAAGAACATTTCAATTACAACAATTCCATTCGCGTAAAGTTTGAAAACTGAACGAATCGGAAGACGAATCCAACCACTGTAAATATCTCGTTTTTATTACCCAATAGCTCATATGTGCCTGTAAATCGCGCGTGTGCGTGATTTTCCGTAATGACATCATCCAGTGGAGGAGTGCACCTCATAAGGATAGAAAACGTAGCTAGAAACAATAGGAACTATTTGTTGTCAAAACTTTTATTAGCATATTTCCGAATTTTTGGTCAAGGGTTTTGATAGAAAGAAAACATTGCTTGAGGTTGCTCAAGCCTCAACTTATATGCAGCCTTTGATCCACTGACCATGTAAACAGAGGAAGACATAGAAGGGTTTGATACATTCCGCTGTAATTGATGCCAAGATTACAATTCTCTTTTTCGAGCAACAGTAGGTGCTCTGAAGTGGTCTGTACAAATATGGAAATTCTGTCTGCGTGCTCCAACCTTTCTCCTAAATGTAACTATTCACACGTTTAACAATAGTAGATGTTAACGAAATAGTGGAGAGATTAAATGAAAAAAATTTTAGCTGTCACATTCCCAAAGAAAACATGTCCCGACATACTCTTGTCAAATTCCAAACAATGGTTGATATTCTCAGCGCATTGCTCTTGATACGCAGATACGTTGACTGGAAGCTGTATCAAGAAAAACCTTCTCGTGATAATCAAAACACTACTGAGCAACCATGAAAATTTCTTCACCACATAAAAAGACGAAAAGAACAATTTATTTGATACTATCTTACGAAGTTAAAATTTCTACATATTCCGTTTATCTTCGTCAGAGGCTTCACGCCAATTACATCTGGTGTACAAGAAAGCTCAGAATCATTTGAAACTTATGCACTGTTTTGAATGATACTTAAACACAATTGATATGTACATAAAAATTTAAAACACAACCAAACACTTGTTTTGTAGCCAATCTCTTCCAATCTTTGTCTCTGATCCGTAGAGGATAAATTCACGGTTTGGGAATACACTTAAGAAAAATTGCAGCGAAGTAGTAACTCGGCTCAGATTCGGTGAAAATCCATAACACATTGTAATTACCTGCTGAGTAATGTTCACAGTTTAGTTGAAAATATGGATAACATTCTGCTTAGTGTCAGAAACTAGCACTTTATCTTCTTTGGTAACAGCGACAGACCAAGGACGTTCCATTCTAGCATTAAACGAGTTAATGAACTTTCCATCCAAAGAAAACACTTGAAGTCTGCTGTTAAAAGAGTCACATACGATCAGGTTATTAAACTTGTCAATGGCGAGTCCTATAGGACATTGTAGCTCTCCGTCACCAGATCCCTCCCTGCCAATATCATACTGAAGCTCTCCTTCTTTGTTGAACACTTTCACACAGTTAGCCGATACATAGGACACAAAGAACTTGTCCTCGTGATAAACAGCACACGTCGGGGAAGAATCACAGTCTGGTGCATTAAAGGACTGTACTAATCTTGCACCGTCGGGGGTGAGGACCTTGACTGAATTGTCACCTGAGTCAGACACGATCATGTGATCATCACTTCTAATAGACACATGCAGTGGTGTATTCAGATACTGACCGATGTGTTTAATGAACTGGCCATGTTCAGTAAATAGGAACATTTTACTCCGTTGGTCAGGCTCATAATGAGTGACTACGACATCATCAGATGCCGTGAATGCCACTGATCTTGGTTTTCCTCTTCTTTCAACACACCCCTTGTCTCCTATCGTTCTTAAATATTTCCACTTGGAATCAAACAACTGAACTCGCTTATTTAAGGCATCTACAATGGCAATGTTTCCTGTTCTTTCACTCACTGCAATGCTTCCTGGTCCTGCAAACTCTGCCGGTCCTTTCTCACGTGATCCAAATGAATGAAGAGCCTTGTAGCGATGACCAGTCACCTGAACTCTCCAGGGACTACCAGTCAGCGCCTTGCCATTTACTTCGACAACAATATCATGTAATCCAATACTCTTTGGCTCATAACGCAATGTATAGTTTCCATTTTGACAATGCTTAGGTTTTATTTCTTCATCTTCGCCATTAGGAGAGCGAATTTTCGCAGTCACTTGGTCTTTTTCATGATAAACCAGCTTCCCCTCCGAGTCTCGTGTAGTTACATTGAAGTCAGTTTCAGCGCCAATTTCAGCTTCTTGCAGACCGTTTCCTTCAGCCGTAGATTTTGAAGGATCAGTATAGCTCGCGATCAAGTCTCTAACGATGGTTAAAACTTCTTCATTGAACTCTGTCGATACTGAAATGAAAGTACGGGAAATAGAACAGTGTAATTCGTGTTCTGCAGCACTTGCTTGCCAATAGCCATTAAATATTGCCAGTTGATTTATAGAGGGTTGTAAAATGCTAATTTGGTAAATTTGATACATTCTTGTATAATCTCTCTGAAAGGTTCTGACACCAACATTCCCTTGAACTGTTGTGGCACTCCTTAAGGCCTTAATGGATCTACTGTCGTATAAACAGTCTATTCTGTACCAAGGGACTTCTCTCGATATATGTCATATATGTAACAGGAGCCCATTACTTGGCTCTAGTCTGTAATGTGTATCCCTAAGATGAAATAATTTTCTCTTGTTACGTCATAGTCTATTACTTTTTTATAACATTACATTGCATGAAACCCAGCTTTAGACTATTCCCTATCTACAAATTTCCATCAATTTTCAGCAAAAAAAAAACTTAAAAAATGAATTCCTTTTGGTTGGGTAAAAAAATCTCCTCAAAGAATTTGGAAGTAACCCAAGAATTCGTTGCCACGAAAAGCCATAAGTGCATTTTTGATATAGTAGATACCTTTGACAGAGCTTTCCAAGTTATCTAGCTTTTTGATGACTTCATTCAGCTGATCTTTCACGTTGTCTTCATCTTTCTTCCATTGTCTGAGAAGTTCTTTGTAGTGATCTTCAAGATCAGGGTCCATGACTTCAGTTTCCAGCTTGTCAATAGCTGTTTTGTACTTGACTCCTCCCAATCTAACCAGAGTGTCCCGGATGTCGCCCCAGTATGCATTAAAAGCCGCATCATCAACTGATGCACACTCGGCGTGACCATACACGGTATTTCTGTAATATTTGACACGAGCAATATCAGCTTCACGGCTTACGTCTGTGACAGCGGGAAGTTTATCCCAGCCTGTTGCAGGAGAAGTTAAACCGCATAAGTTTCGAAGCAGAACCATTAAAAGTGTAATGTCGAATTGGGCCGATGACACTGATGTAGAGATGGCGGGAAAGAGCTTTCCCCATTGCGTTGCGTTTATGACGTTCCTATTTCTCAGTGTCTGTAAAGTTGCTTTATTTCCCGCCAAAACTTTGTGGAGATTTGTAGGTGCATGAATGGCATCAAAAGTGTCTCGGAAAACCTGGGTACCAACATCAACCACCAGCCGACACAGGCGAGCGTAGTTCGTTGTCTCTTTGGTGGATGAAAATGTTGGCGCAGCAGAAGCCATGGAGGGTTGTCTATCATTCAAAAGTAACGATAAAAATTCAAGTGAACCATCTCTTGGATAATGGTGCCACGTTTCTAAAGAAACATTGTTACTTCGTCGTTGGGGGTATGACAAGATAGTGTGCTTTCATCAGCGTAAAGAAATTCTAGAGCTGACGTTTTAAGCGTTAACCCTACGTCAGAGCGACGAAAGGCTAACGCACGAAAAGCCAGCTTTAGAAACTGTTCACAGAGGCAGTGAGCTGATATCGGAATTTCTGCAATTTTCCTCATTGTGGCTCACCTGCAGCGAGATTACTACTTTACTTAATTGAGAGTGTTTACCAACCGTCACCGACCAAGATCAATACTAAAGGGCAACAGGCTAATATTTCATTCAATGAACTAGCTGGAAGAATTATAAAGACAATAATTAAAGAGTCCTTTGTGACCTGCTATCTTTGCTGGACCCTTCATCGCCACAACACTTGTACTGAAATTTTGATGTATGCAAAACTTTGCTATCCCTAAAAAAACCAGAAAATTCTAAAGCTAGCCCTCGAGGCTTTTACGCTTCATTAAATCTTTATGCCATTTATCGGATCTTTATGTTTTTCCTTCTTTTTTACATCGCAATCATGAATGTAAGAGATCTTTTAATAAGTAGGGTTTGTCACAATTTTTCTCTTTTCTTTTATTTCCAAAAAGTTTTTTGGGGATTTTGCCTTAAATCAATTTTAACAGAGAAAGGCCAGTAGACCTTGTAATTAAATTTCTGAACATTGTTTCCATTTAATCGCAGCAATACGAATGAATTTACATGTGAATTTATCATGATCTGTTAACGAACGAGTGAATCCTACACATGTCAAGTGAAAGATGGTTTTAAAATCGCTGAAGCAAGCAACAAAGTGGCATTAAAAATCTTTACGAAGTGATCCTCCTTCACAGATTTTCTCAAGTGTAGTTGACGGAAAACGCTATGTGTTCGCAACAGTAGAAGTAATAATAACCAAAGCAAAGCAAGTCGTGCATGTAGAAACAGACTCTGAACCATGTTTTACTTGTGACAGAAAGCTCTGTAGAGTGCAACTTAATCAAAACACAACCAGTTGTTCAGTTTTATGAAGAAACATCCAAGACTTCTTTCAGTGTCTGGGAGTCAATTCTCGGATGAAGGACAAAGGCGGCGTTATAGCGGAAGACACGTAAAGGTGTGCTGTAGCTATCAGTACCGCCCTAATACTAATATTGTAGAAGCAGTGCACTCATCAAACTTGGCAGTTAGTTGCTATTGACGTATGATTAACACATTCATATAGGGAGAATGGAAATATTTTCGGGAATGATCATAGTGCGTTCTAAAGAGCAAAACAGTGAAGCCAAACCTGTGGATTCCCTCTGTCAAAAACCAGCAAATCGTTATCAACAGCTTGTCTCCGGCGAAAGTTCTTGATGTGCCACAAAAAGGTTTTAAACCCAAGACCTGGCGAAATTGCTCAACGAATCGAAAGAACGCAATCAACAAACCCTCAAATAAGCGTGCAAGGAATTTAGAAACTTACGTCATCATCATATAATTATGCAGATGTAATTATGTTGCTATGTCTCTCATTTTGGTGAATAATTTTATATGACAAGTTTAAAGTCTGAACATTGTGGTTTGAAGCCTCTTGCTCTGGAAGAGCGTAATTAACCTGCATTTATACATTTAGTACCGATTAATTTCAAAAAGTTGTTTACTTTGAACAAGCGACGTACAATTTATCAAGATTGCAAAAAAGAAAACAAAGACAAAAAAAAAATTCTTTCGTTCAACCTCGAACTGTCAAAAGCCCCGAAACGCAACCGTAAACGGCCAGAACTCGAAAACTTTAACCACCGGCAAAGCTAACTTAGACCCTCCGGCATTGTACAGAACTGCTTGTTACATATAAACTTAGTAGTGTCCAAACTAACCTTAGAGCCCTCTATGATTACAAGATGGAAAATCAATCCGAAATGTCTACTCGACTTGTTCTCATTCAGCAGCTAATTTCTGTTTGTGATGTTACTTCACACCATGAAAATCAGCTCACAACATTGTTCCATCCAAGGAGCATCACGGCGAACGAAGTCAGTGAAAAGTTACGTGTTGCCTCAACTCATGTCACCCGAAGGCTGCGTGCCTTCGCCCTCAAGTGTAATCACGTCACCCTCTAGTAGTTACATCGACTCAGAAATAGTCAGCTCATTCTCCCTCATGGGAAGACCACGTTCGTCCGAATGACAATTATTTTCCGTCCAATCCGGACAGAAAACTAGAGAAACAGAGACAATAACAGAACTACAGTAAACACAAGTTGGGTAACTTGTTTAAGATTCAACAACTGTGCCCTTCAGCGAAAGGAGAAATTATTCATAAATAGCTGAACCCACGAAAAACTTAAGAAGCAAAACGATTTATTGTAAAATATCATACAATGTTTACACGTCTTCATTTATCGTTTATCTTTGCTGGCTAAATGTTGATTAGATTTGTTGTATAAGAGTATTCAGAATCGTGAGACTTAATACACAAATTTTGAATAATAACAGAACACAAGCGATATGTACATAGGAATATAAAAGACAGCCAAAAACGCCTGCCTTATCCCCAATCTCTTACACCGGTTTTTTTTTTGGGGAGCCGTTGAGGATAATTCTAATTCTGTGTCGTCATGGATGAAATTCACCTTGACTGAATTGTCTCCCTATTCACATACGATCATGCGACCATCACTTCTACTAGACACGCTCTATGGATTACAGGTGCTGCTTGATGTGTTTAATTAACTTACGATTTTCAGTGAACAGGGACCTTTTTTCATGCGTGGAGAAAGTCTTCATGAATGATTTTGACGGCATCAGATGGCGAGAATTTCACAAATATTGGTTTTCCTTTTCTTCCAGAACCAGGCCCTTTATCTCCAATTGTTCTTAGATATTTCCAATCATATTATTATTATATTTCAACCAACTGAATTCGACTATGATAATAACCAACAATTTGTTTTTGTTTATACATTAAGTAGCGTGTTGTGATTTACTTAATTTGATATCCCGTGCATCTAAAAGTTCCTCGCACTGACTAATCACATTATCTCCTACTTGCGGACTTTTTGTCTCCAAGTCGTTGAGGATGATAAGCCGAGAATATATTCATAAACTGAAATATTACAGCAATGAAGCTGAGAAACTCGTATCAGATTCACTGAAAGATATATTGGAACTTTTTAATTTTCACACCAAAATGTTCACACTTTACAGGAATACATGGATGATATCTTTATAAATACCAGAAACCACTACATTACTTTCTTTAGTGACAGCGATAGAGCAGGAAATTATATTCCCTCATTAAACGAAAAAACAAAGTTCCCATCTAAAGAAAACAACTGAAGTCTGCGCTAAACAGAATCACTCACAATAAGGTTATTAAAACTGTCAATGGCGAGTCCTGCAGGACGTTTTAGCTGTCCGTCACCAGATCCCTCTCTGCCAATATCATACTGAAATCCATTTTTGTTGAACACTTTCACCCAGTTAACCGTGGCATAGAATACAAAAAAACTTTGTAATAAACAGCATACCATGGGCCCTGACCGAAAGGCTGATGCTCTGAAGGAGTGTACTAATCTTGTACCGTCAGAAGAGAGGACCTTGACTGACTTGTTGCCAGAGTCACACACGATCATGTGGCCATCACCCCTAACAGATGCACGCTGTGGATCAATCAGCTGGTGACTGATATTTTTAATAAATTGACCATTTTCAGCAAACGGGGAAATTTTACTTCGCTGCGAATGCTCTTCATGAATGACTAAAACGTCCCCAGATGCTGTGAAAGCCACTGATCTTGGATTTCCTATTCTCTCAGCACCAGGCCCTTTGTTTCTTATCGTTCTTTTATATTTCCACGCAGAATCAAACTGCTGGACTCGCCCATTACCATTGTCTGCTATAGCAATGTTTCTAGTTCTTTCACACACCACAATGCTGTGTGGTCTCTTAAACTCTCCCTGTCCTTCCTCGCGTGATCCAAATGAATGAAGAGCTTTGTGTTGATGAAAAGTCACCTGAACTCTCCAGGGACTACCAGTCAGCAGCTTGCCATTTACTTCGACAACAGTTTCATTTAAGCTGACGCTCTTTGGTTTGTAACGCACTGAGAAGTTTTCATTTTGACAATCTTCTATCTTCATTTCTTCATCTTGGCCTCTTGGAAGGCGGATTTCAACAGGGACTCGGTCTTCTTCATTATAAAGCTGATATCCATCTGAATCTCTTGTAATGACTGTGAAGTCAGTTTCATTGCCCATTTCCGCTTCTTTCAGACCATTTCCTTCAACCGATGATTGTGAAAGATCGGTGTAACTCGCAATCACTTGAACCAAATGTTCAACAGAATTCAGTGTCTGCATTTACAAAATGAGAAACATGATGTGGTTTATATATTTTAATATCTTGTGCAGTTAACATTTCCTCGCATTGACCGAACACTGATCATGTTTTCCTTCCAGAATTTCACGGCCGCTGTTTCTCTTTTCGATCCTTCTGCCACATTTGAGACAACTCTCCAGCCGGGCAGCGTATGACTGAAAATCGTCCAATTTTGTCTCGTACATTTTTTGTTGCGTGACTTTAATTTCTGTTAGCTTAGTCTTTACGGCCTTTTCCCGTTCCTTCACAGGCTGAAGGATTTCTTGCACCGTTCTTTTCACCTTGTCCTCTGCAGCGCATAATTCTTAGTTGCTTTCCACCATCAGTTCATTCTGCTCCTTTATCCTTGCCTCCACGACATTGAGTCTTGCCTTGACTTTGGCAAAGACTTGAGTCATTTTAAGCTTTTCAGTTTCAGCGACTAGTTGTATATCTACTATGATGTGTCGATTACGACTCACTATACTACACTTGTGGTAAATACAAATGTTGCAAACTTGACAATAATATTGCACAGCCTCATTCTCGTAATATTTTTTCTTACACATGATGGGCTCTTACCCCATTTCCTTGGCTCTCGAGTCTTTACTTGCTAGGAAAAGAAGGAAAAAAGAAACAGAGAGAAGTACAGGATATAGAATTGTAATAATACATTTGTCGCGGAATTTGTTTTTCTCGCAAAACGCCAACCTAAGCACCACCGGGTTGCTAAGTTCATTAGATGGTCTTGTCGTTTATAAATTTCGGCTGGACACCTCAAAGCATCAACAGTCTTAACCATAACCAGAAGGAGACAGCCTATACACCTATATATAAATACCCTATATACAAATACCCCACAAGAAAGAGGGAAACCTTTTCCCTCTTTCTTTTCAAATTTTGAAAACATTTTCACCTTCATTTAATAATTTGCCTGCGAGATCAGGTAAAGGCGCCTGCCCTTCAATCTAATATGGACCTAAAGGCCTTCAAACTCCACGCTGCTTGATAAATATTAATTAAAATTTGAAAGCAAAACTTAACTTCTTGAAAAAATGCTTATCGGTCAGGCGAAATTTGTAGGGCATTAGATCCGAAAGGAAATCGGAGTTAAAAAGAGAAGGGAATTAGTTTTCCCAAGAATTCGTTGCCACGAAAAGCCATAAGTGCATTTTTGATATAGAAGATACTTTGACAGTGCTTTCCAAGTTATCTAGCTTTTTATGACTTCATTAAGCTTGATCTTTTCACGTTGTCTTCATCTTTCTTCCGTTGTCTGAGAAGTTCTTTGAAGTGATCTTCAAGGTTAGGGTCCATGACTTCAGTTTCCAGCTTGTCAATAGCTGTTTGTACTTGACTCCTCCCAATCTCATTAGAGTGTCCCGGATGTCGCCCCAGTATGCATTGAAAGCCGCATCATCAACTGACGCACGCTCGGCGTCACCATACAAGGTATTTCTATAATATTTGACACGAGCAATATCAGCTTCACGACTCACGTTTGTCTCAGCGGGAAGTTTATCCCAGCCTATTGCAGGAGAAGTTAAACCGCATAAGTTTCGCAGCAGAACCATTAAGAGTGTAATGTCGAAGTGGGCCGATGACACTAAAGAAGGGTCAACAGGAAAGAGTGTTCCCCACGGCGTTGCGTTTATAACCTTCCTTGTTCTCAGTATCCGTAACTTGCCTTCATTTCCCGCCAAAGCTTTGTGGAGAGTTGAAGGGGGGTGGAAGGCATTAATGTGTCTCTGAGGGCTTGGGTACCAATACCAACTATCAGCCGACATAGAAGAGCATAGTTCGTTGTCTCTTTAGTGAATAAAAATGTCGGTGCTGCAGAAGCCACGGACAGTTGCTAACATTCAAAATTAACAATAAGTCATATTGATAAAATAATCACAAATCCCTGTTCAACGTCGAGTCTCGTAATTAAGGCTGGGATGACATGTTTCATTGTATTTAGTTAGTGCCACTGAATAAAATACTTTGGACCCATCTTGCCTCGATTGTTAGGGGCCTTTTAGTGGTATTTACCGGGTGAATTAATTCTCGGGGGCTTAATGAAACTGTACAACCCGATTTGCGTCTTTTGAAGGCTTAGTGCTAATTAGACAAACATCGTCTTCAAGCAGCCACGCAAAAATTCCTGAAAATCCATAATAGTGATGCATTTAGCAAGCAGCATTTCATATGACAAAAAAGAGTGATTGATGTTCACACTTCAACTCCTCAAGACATGTCATGAAAGTTTCGTAGAAGGGAAAAGTGATGTTGTTATAGTTCCAACTGAGGCCCCCCCCCCCCCCCCCCCCCCCACCTCAGGCTGTTTCACTTATTCAGATCCCCCTTTAACTTTTGAGAATCTACCCTCTCAATGTTCGCGGTTCTTCCAGTCTCAGACTTGAAAGCTGAATAATTAATAGTGGATAAAAATGGAATAAATGATAATTATTTGGGTTTGGAAACTGTGGAATAATTAATAAAGTAGTCATGCCCTCGAATAAGGAATAACATAAACAATTTTTAGAAGCTCAACATACAAGGAGCTTACTGGCTTGTGCAATTTCTCTGGTACATAAAGAAATCAAACATTCCTTTTCCAATAAATACTAGTCGAATTTTGCCAAACGTCTACAAGGGTAGATTACTCCGAATATGTGATATGTTTGTAGAAAAGGAAAATGCTTTGTGTAATGAAAAATTATTAATAATGAATTGACGCCAAGAGTTCAAAAACAAGCGTGAATAATTCGAATTGATATCTAACTTGAAGAGTGAACGATCAGTGCCCAGTTATTTAGTTTCCACCCTCAATCCAGTCAATAAAGATTTCTTATCGTTTCTGTTAACATTTCACATATCTATTGTTTAATTTAAAATACTGAGCTGATTGAAAGAGGCCAGAGAAAACCTAAAAGATTATTGTTTCGTTTAACCTCAGACATAGGAATAAGTTATAGATACAAAACTCATCTGTTAACAAATCCCAGAAGCCTACGATATAAAAGATGATGACGGAATATGCATTATTCGCAGTAATGGAAGCAAAACTTAGCATTAAACAAAATAATAATTGCATACTGACACATTGACCCATTGTTCATGTGTGTGAAAGCTCTATGCGAATTTAAAGCAGCCTATTAATCAAAACACTGCCAAACGTTCTCTATAAGCTGCAAGCACGTTCGTAACCACATTGCAGTGTTATCAAGTTGAGTCACAATTAAAAACAACAGGGTTTTAGCGTTTGGAAAAACTTTAAGGCGTGCAACAGATGCAAAGATCACCCCAACACCAACTGAAAAGCCATGCATTCCAAAGTCTGACGACCGACCGATTTAAACTCGTTACTTAGACTCCTGTGAAAAATTACCTTTTTTTTCTGAATGATCACGGTGCTCTGTAAGAGAAGAGAGTTGTAGTATTTATACCTGTTGTAAAGACGCTCGAATGGAGTTGCAGATCAAACGGGAAGTTGCAAATATAGCAGTACGTTTTAGCTCCAGGAAAACGTTAACACCAACTTTTCTTCTGTAAAAGGTCCTGATTGATCAACGAAAGTCTAAAACTTCGATTAGAATGTTGCTAAATAACGCAAACAAAAGCGACGGACTCGCAAATAGAAGTGCGTGCAAGGATAATGCAGCTCGCTCTCGTCCTACGAGGTTTTTCCGGTTAGTTATCAAAATGGCGACAATTCGAAAAACCCCCTGCACACAGTTCTCTAAATCGTTTCCTGATTGGTGCTTTTCTAAGATGATGAAGTATTGGTTAAAGTCTCGATCTCATCTCTTCAAGAGCTCGAAAAGCCTTAGATTGACCAAACAGTACCGGCTGAAAGTTCATCAACTGTAGTTCCCTTTACAATCTCTTATAAAACTGAAGCTGTTCCGTTTGGGGCATCGTCAAGGTAAGAAGTCTAAAAATTCAAAGATTTCGGCGACAATTTACACTTCGTGTAGAGTGCGGCAGCAGATTTTTATCGCTAATATCGGATCAAACGTCAGCGGCGGGATGGACATAATTTAGCAAACATTTTTCAGTGGAAAAATACCCCTAGGTCAAAGTATTCACTTGCTGCTAGCATAAAGGGTGTAAGTTTCTTTATATAATAAGCTCAGTTATGCACGCATTCTGATTGGTTCTCACTCATGATCTATTGGAGGACAGACGTATAAATGACGTCATCATTAAAACTTTTTTAATTCTTTATTATATAAAACAAATAGATTCCAAGTTGCTGTGCGTCTGTTCAGTGATAGATCACAGAGGACGTCAAAATGTGGTAAGAACATCAGTGACACCCTCAGCTGCGCCTCGTGTGCCACTTTTTTGTTCTTACCACATTTTGACGTCATCTGTGATCTACTACTGAACAGACGCACGGCAACTTGGAATCTATTTGTTAAATAGAAACTATCGTGCTACGTCGGTGGGGTGGGGAGGGGGTATTACAAGTTAATTTGGTTTTATCAAGTTAGTTAATAATAAATTAATAATAAATTGGCCACTATAGAGAGTTTCTTAAGCTGACGTTTCGAGCGTTGGTCCTTCTTCAGAGTGAAGGACGAAGGACTAATGCTCGGGCAACTGCCCACCTACCCCTCCCCTAAGCCAACATTAACCCTAACTTGTTATCAATTGACTGTTGTTGAGTTAGGGGAGGGGTAGGTGGGCAGCTGCCCAGATACTGATATTGATCCCGAAACGTCACTGTGAAACTCTTTATGTTGGCAAATTTACATTATCAACTCAGTTTATAAAACAACATTATCTTTAAATTTGAGATCTGAGTTTGTTATCCATAATCATTTTCGAGAATTTCTCTCTTACGACAGTTTGGGGAAGTGTTCTGTAATTTTCCGCGATCATGCTGGGACCCCTCTAATTGCGCAGAGATGCTAAAACTACTGTAAAAAGTGCGAGGAAACCGTTTGTCAGCGCATTACCAGTAAAGAGGATGGACGCGAAAGTATCTCGTTTGGTTTGGTGCAATTTTCGCTATACTAATGCAGTACCCTTCCATTCTGTGATTTTATGATTTTCCCGAGCCATTTAGGAAGAACGTTCATGTGACTTGCCAGACCTCGTAATATTAAGCTTTCTGTTAACAGTATGAGTCAGAGCGAAAGACGAAGGGCTAACGCTCGAAACGTCAGTTTTAAAACTCTTTGCGGTGGCCAATTTACGTTAGCAACTCAGTTGATAACACTTAATTACCCTGTTATACTCTCCCAACGACGTAGCACCACAGTTTCTATAGAAGCTTACCCCCTTTATTCGTTTGAATGTAACAGACTTAGTCACACAAGCCTCCTCCTTCTGTCATGTTGATATTAAGAGACACTTAGACTCGCGAGAGATAAGTTCCTGTCACCCCACCGGATGAAAGCAGAGAAACTTCTCATGAGACGCGTGCAAACAGCACAATCGATTGCCTCACGACGTCTTCGAACAAATCTGCTAAACGCTGTCAGGGCATGAAGAAGTATCAATGATCAAGATCTTTCTATAAGCCTTTCAAGAAGGTATACACAAAAGAGCTATATTTTACAAGAATGTTCATGATCAGGTAAAACATTACAAACTCATTTTGAAAAATGATATCAAATAAAATGTATACAGAACCTAACAGCTGCCTCTAGATATTAACAATTTCTATTATCTTCTGTATTTATCCTCAAGCCGTCCAAAATTCGTAAAAAAAAAAACAGCACCTTAACAACTCAGATCAGAGTAAATAAAAATATACGTCGTAATATCTTAACTCCTGAATGATCATTTCACTGAAAAACACGAATTACATGTTTACGGAAATCAGAAATCAGCAACTTACTGTCTTTGGTAACAGCGACAAAGCGGGGATAGTCCATTCCCTCACTAAACGAGTTCACTAATGTTCCATCTAAAGAAAACACTCGTACTCTGCTTTTACCAGTATCACAAACGATCAGGTTATTACACCTGTCAATAGTAAGTCCAACAGGACGGTTCAGCTGTACGTCACCAGATCCCTCCCTGCCAATATCATACTGAAGCTCTCCTCGTTTGTTGAACACTTTCACACAGCTAGCCGTTACATAGGACACAAAGAACTTGTCCTCGTGATAAACGGCATGCGTCGGGGAAGAATCACAGTCTAGTGCATTAAAGGACTGTTTTAGTCCCGAACCGTCAGGGGTGAGTACCTTGACTGACTTGTCACCTAAGTCACAAACGATCATGTGACCATCACTTCTAATAGACACGCTATTTGGATCAATCAGATACTGACCGGTGTGTTTAATAAACTGACCATGTTCAGTAAATAAGAACATTTCACCTGGTTGGCCAGCCTCATAATGAATGACCACAACGTCACCAGATGCTGTGAATGCCACTGATCTTGGATGTCCTATTCTTTCAGCAACAGGCCCCTTGTCTCCTATCGCTCTTAAATATTTCCACTTAGAATCAAACAACTGAACTCGCTTATTTACGCAATCTGCAATGGCAATGTTCCCTGTTCTTTCACTCACTGCAATGCTTCCTGGTCCTACAAACTCTGCCGGTCCTTTCCCATGTGATCCAAATGAACGAAGAGTCTTGTATTGATGAGCAGTCACCTGAACTCTCCAGGGACTACCAGTCAGCGGCTTCCCATTTACTTCGACAACAATCTCATGCAAGCCAATACTCTTTGGCTCATAACGCACTGTGTAGTGACCATTTTGATAATGCTTAGGTTTTATTTCTCCATCTTCGCCTTTAGGAGAGCGAATTTTCACAGTCACTCGGTCTTCTTCATCATAAAACAGTTTCCCCTCCGAGTCTCGTGTAGTTACAGTGAAGCCAATTTCAGCACCAATTTCAGCTTCTTGCAGACCGTTTCCTTCAGCTGCAGATTTTGAAGGATCAGTGTAGCTCGCGATCACTTGACCCGGAACTAAGTGTCTGACAGTGTTTAGAGATTCTGCATTGACACGATAGATAACCGGTTGTGGGTTAAAAATTTCGATATCCTTTGAAGTTAAAAGTTCCTCGCATCGAGCAACGACAGTATTTCCTGCTTGTAAAATTTTGAGGCCGACTTTTTTTTGTACGATGTCTTCGCCACATTCAACTGAATTTCTTAGCTGATCTGCGTAGACCTGAAATTCCTCCAATTTCTTAGCGTAAATAATTTGTTGTGAGGCCTTAATTTCTTCCAGCTTTGTCTTAGCGGCAGTTTCATGTTCCCTCGCAATTCGAATGATTTCCTCAGAAATTTCTGTCACCTTCTTTTCGGCAGCGCAGATTTCCTTTTCGCTTTTGCTCATCAGCTCAGTTTGCTCAATTATCTGTTTGTTCACGATAGCCATTCGTTCCTTGACTCTAGCGAAGACTTGTTTCATTTCCATTTTTTGTTCTTCAACTGCCTGCTGTATGTCCACCATGGCGTGTCGATTATGGATCAATATACTGCATTTCTGGCAAATACAAACGTTGCAGTCTTGACAATAATATTGCACTGCCTCATTTTCGTGATATTTTTCTTTACACTTGATGGACTCATGTAGCAATTCCTCGGCCTTTGAGTCTTTTCCTGTCGTTTAACATGAAAGTAAAGAAAATAAAACAGTGTAATTCGTCTTCTGCAGCACTTGCTTGCCTACAACCGCCGGCTTAAACACTGCCTGTTGATTTATAAAGGGTTATAAAACTGCTACTTTGGTATATTAATTTGATACATTGTTGTAGAAATTGTACGGAACATTCTGACACCAATATTTCTTTTAACTCTTTTGACATTCCTAGAGGCCTTAATGGATCTACTCTCGTATATACAGTCTATTCTGTACCAAGAGACTTCTCTCGATTACGTGTATGCTAGGTTTATATCTGTAATCTGTATGCTTAGGATGAAATTATTTGCTATTGGTATGCCATAGTCAATTACTTTATTATAATGTTACATTGGATGAAACTCAGCTTTAGACTATTCCCTATGTGCAGAAATCATCAACAAATTTCCATTAATTTCCTTTGTTTGGCTAAAAATCCTCTCAACGAATTCGTTAGTAGTAACCTTAAGGTGGAGGGGGGACACGAGCATCCACTCCTCCTTCCTCTCTTGTCTCTACTTTCTGTAATTACGAAGCGTGTTTTTGCTTATCATTACAGTTTACCTTGACGCCCAGAAAATTTAAAATGATCTAGTAATTCTTGATACTGTAAATACCTTTGACAGAGCTTTCCAAATCATCCAGCTTTTTGATGACTTCATTCAGCTGATCTTTCACGTTGTCTTCATCTTTCTTCCATTGTGTGAGAACTTCTTTGTAGTGATCTTCAAGATCAGGGTCCATGACTTCAGTTTCCAGCTTGTCAATAGCTGTTTTGTACTTGACTCCTCCCAATCGCACCAGAGTGTCCCGGATGTCGCCCCAGTATGCATTGAAAGCTGCATCATCCACTGACGCGCGCTCGGCGTGACCATACACGGTATTTCTGTAATATTTGACACGAGCGATATCAGCTTCACGACTCAAGTCTGTCACAGCAGGAAGTTTATCCCAGCCTGTTGCAGGAGAAGTTAAACCGCATAAGTTTCGCAGCAGAACCATCAAAAGTGTAATGTCGAATTGGGCCGATGACACTGATGTAGAGATGGCAGGAAAGAGCTTTCCCCATTGCGTTGCGTTTATGACCTTCCTAGTTCTCAGTGTCTGTAAAGTTGCTTTATTTCCCGCCAAAACTATGTGGAGATTTGTAGGTGTATGAATGGCATCAAAAGTGTCTCGGAGAGCCTGGGTGCCAACATCAACCATCAGCCGACACAGGCGAGCGTAGTTCGTCGTCTCTTTGGTGGATAAAAATGTTGGCGCAGCAGAAGCCATGGAAGGTTGCCTATCATTCAAAATCAACGATAAAAATGCAAGTGAACTATCTCTTACGATAGTTTTGCTTGTCTGCACTTGTCTGGGATCGCCACGGGAAAAAGAAATGTATGGTGAAAGGTTGTTTCGACGTCCAAACAACGATTTTGGAGAGAGATTTTTCGCTTTTAAACCTCTAATTTATCAGAAAATGGATTTGGGTAAAATTGATGCTAGGGAAGCGTAAGTCTTTGCTTGGACAACCACGAAATATGTAGTAACATCTACCGATTAACTTTTCTCTACGCGCAAGGTTTTTTGTGAAATTGACATCGCGTATTGGTCTCGGAATTTAGAAATGTTGGCTTTTAATCGCCAAGAAATAACTCAAGAAAGCCTTTTCAGTTTTTTTTGACGTGTGTCTACTTCTTGCTTTTTCTTTTCTTGGCTTGGTAATACAAAAGAGCGCTACAACAGCTGTCTCAACGCAGCCGGAGATTAAAATGTGTGTGTGTGTGTGTGTGTACTAAGAACATAGCAAAAGTACTTGTATCAATGTTAGTAATATCACTGTGGGATTACTGAATGATGTTTAGTACTTAACCCTTTAACTCCGATCCCAGATCAAATTTTTAATTCTCCTCAGTATCAATCATATAATTCTCATAATGTTAGTTCAGAGAATTTAGTATTGGATCAACTAATTACTCCCAAATTGATATTTTTCTTTATGCTCATCCCATATCTGGCTGATATTTTATTGATATTGTAAGGAGAAATTCTGTCTTGGTCAATAATGGGAGTTAAAGGGTTAACAAGATTGTACCACCTCATTAGAAAGTTGATCGAAGAATAATGACAGAATATACAAGAAATTAAAGTGTGAGTGTCTTCTCTAGATGAATAAACAACAGTGTGCTCGAGCATTAAGTATTATTGTGATACATCAAAGAGATTTAACACTTTTGAGATGTGTTAAATAATTCATGCAGAAAGAGTGAGAATAACGTAACTTGTACTGTTTTGCGAAGCGAAACGAAACAAAATCAGGCGAGATATAATAAAACTAAAGGAATGATGCAGATGTATTTCTAATAAGGTAAAGATAACTTCCACAAGAATTTTGGAGTAACCGTCAATTAATAAGAAGGATTTTTATTCATTTTACAAATTAGTAATTCAAGAACAACAACCTTTTTGCGAAATGGACTATTTTCCCCCTTGCGGTGACAATGAAACCTATTTCACATCACAAAAACCATACAAACTGGTACATTACCAAAGATTTCGGCCCCCCCCCCCTTATTTCTTAAACCGTATTAAAAAATAGTTCGCAAAAGAGTAATTTTAGGAGAGATACTATTTTGCGAAAAAGACTATTTTCACTCTTAAATAACAGTGTCTTTCTTTTCGAGTCACCAAAATACGTTTAAACATATCATGATATATTCCCGAAGATCATGGTACGCTCCCATTTCATTATCCATTTAAAATCAATTTCGTAAAGTTACAATTTTAGAAAAATTACAATATATTGCGAAATAGACTATTTTCACTGAGCGGTAAAGATAATGCCATTCTTGTGTCACACAATAAGTTTGGTAATATGCTAATGTAGAATGTTTAAATAGATTTTCGTGACATGAAAAGGTCACGTTGTCACTGCAGTATGGAAATAGTCGATTTCGCAAAATAATAACTCTTCTCAAATAACTACTTTGCGAAATGAATTAAAATCCTTCTTATCGCGTTTAACGTTTACTTCAATCTTTACCTTATTAAATGCTTTACCGCATTATTCCTTTAGTTTCGCTTCATCTCGTCTGGCTTCGTTTCGTTTCGTATCGCAAAATAGAATACGCCGTCAAACCTGTATTTACGCGTAGTCACTCAATCACGAAAGTAAACCGGATTGTACTGGGTTAGTAACGTCAATATCAAAACCAGGAAACGTTCCCAGAAGCTTGTCTTCCACGAAAGTTCTTGATAAGCCACCAGAAGTTTTAAAATAACGATCACAAGGTCGCTCAACGTCTCGAAGGAACGCAGTAGACAACCTTCAAACAAGCGTGCAAGGTTGCCAGTAATTGGATCCTTGTGTTTGCGCAAAGATCTCTGGGGTTGCTACGAAGCAAATATGACAAGTTTTTGGGAGTTACTACATCACGGGCGACGAGCGGGGATAGAAAAAACGACCCAAATATGAGCGGTCAGCGGTGAAACAGCTTTTATACTTCATATAGAGACATAATTTGTTGTTCCAGAGACAATCGTGTTGTAAAGCCGAAATGTTAACAGTTTACTCACAGTTTAAGCAATTTTTCAAAAGTGTTGATTGAACTCATATCTTTTACTGCTTTAATAAACAATGGAGGCTTCGGAGAGGGAGTCAGTGGCATTTGGAAAGGCACCAAGAATAATTATATATATGGTTTGTAGCTAGCTGGTCTGTGAGATTTGCAAAGACGACGATGGAGAGGATTGGCTTGGGTGCGATAGCTGCGGCCAGTTTTTCCATGCAAGTTGTCTGGATGTGCCTTTCGCGGAGACGCTTACGCAACATTTCACCTGCCCTTAGGGTGGCTTCTTGTCAGCACAAGTAGAGTTTAAATTTTAAAGCTGACTATAACAACGAACCAGATGATGAACTTAATGTCATGTACAGACCTTAATTTGCAAGATAAGAAATACAGTCCTTGGTAGTCAATTAAGATAGATTTTCACGAGCGTCAATGGTGCAGAATCGTAACTTGATGGAGCCAACAGTGGACAACATCCCAGAATTCAAACTTTGTGATTTTTTTCTCGGCTTAAACGCTAAGTCAGTTGTTCAATTGAATAGGAAGAAAAACATTTCGAACGGAAAACAGCATTATTTGCACGTGTGGATCTTTTGAGAAAAGGTCTCCTAAACGAGTGGTCTTGATTGTAAATATTTAAGGAATGGTAAATACATTAGCCTTAACATGGCTGTTTCTCGAAGCTCAGTGTTTTCCTACTTGCCTTTTTTCCATGTGAATTGGGGGCGATTGAATAGATATAATATGCAGTAAAAGAACTTCAGCTGATAGAAATTTTAAATTTCTCATCTTAGGCTGTGGATACAAAATTCAAGTGAAAAGGAAGCCAACTGTGATTAATGCTTTGAATAAGTCAAGATACGTTTTTTTCGTCACACAACAAGTTACATAACGTGAATATCATTCTTCTTGATGCCTTTCCCGGTGTCACCAATGCCTTTCCCGATGCCTCCGTTGGTTAATAGAGCATTAAAAGTATTGTTCCAGTTAAAGCTTGAGGAAAATTGCTTAACTTTTTAAGTAGCGAAGTGTAACTTGGTAACATTTCGGCTTTACAACACGATTGTTTTCTGCAACTACAAAACGTACATTTAATTATTCTTGGTACCTTTCGGATGCCACCGATGCCTTCATTGTTTATTAAAGCAGTAAAAGATATATGTACAATCAACACTTTTGAATTGCTTAACATTTTATTTAGCGAAGTAAACTGTTTACACTTCGGCTTTACAACACGATTGTTTCCTGATACTACAAATGATATGTCTATATATGAGCTATGAAAGTTGTTTCACCGCTGACCACTCGTATTTGGGTCGTTTTTTCTATCCCCGCTCGTCGCCCGTGATGTAGTAACTTCCCCAAGTTTTTTTGCAACAGAACCTAAATCCATTTATGTCAAAACAGCGGCGAGAAAGCAATGATCTTTCTCCAAAATCGTTTATTTGAATGCCGAAACGACCTTTCGCCGTATATTTCCTTCTAGCAACTTGTTATGTTTGCCTCATAGCAATCCCAAAAATTATTGCGCAAACACAGGAATACGATTACCAGTAACTCTCACACCATCATCATGTGACCAGACGACTAAATGTCAATAATGTCAAGCCGCAATCGGGTTGACGTTACGAGTCACGCGTGACATGTCCGTCTGACACGTACATTGCACAATCCACTTCACAGTTATACAAGATATTTTGTACCGTTTACCATGTATTCTCCGAAGTACATATAATCCTATATCCCAGTCACAAGCCTTCTCCTTTGCTGTTTGCTTTAAAATAGATGTGTTCTCGTCACCAGTCAGTTACGTTATTACTTGGCGGTTCACCCCCTCCTAAGAAAAATCCTGGGTCCGCCCCTGGAACGTAAAGCAAGACAGACTTAATGTTACACAGTTGGACCTTGGTCCAACTGTACTGTTTTTGACCCGCCCTTCCCCGTTAAGGAACGAACTTGTTGTTAACAACTCTATCTCCTTTAAACTATCCACCCTAAGAAACGAAAGCAATTCAAAATTATTCGCATCTGGTTAAATCCAGCGCCTGCCGAGTCAGCTTTTTTAAAACTCACGGTGCAAGGTAGAACAATTTCAAAATCTCAACGAGCACAATCAAAGCAGGGATTTCTGTCACCCCACTGGAGATAATACCACAGCTTTTACATTTTAAACTAAATTCTTGCGGTTTTTCACCGTTGAAAAAAACTTTGGGGCTTTGTTTTACAAAAAATTAATGGTTCACAAACAGATCAGCCGTTAGACATGGTTTGATGCTACTCTGGTTTAAAGATTTAATAAATGTAACCGAGAAGTTACAATTCATTGGCCCAACGTTTCGACACACTTGTCTAGTGCCTTCATCAAGGGTGATCTAATCGCTGCAACAACATGTCCTTCTCTATGCTCACTAATTAGCTGCCCTTTTTGTGACAAGGTGTAAATAGGCGTCAGTTAACAAGCCGTGAGCAACTTTGAATATAACAGACTTAGTCACGCAAGCCTCCTTCCCTTCTGCGATGTTGATGTTACGAGACACTTACACTCGCGAGAGATAGGTTCCTGTCCCCCCACCGGATAAAAGCAAAGACAGGCTTTATGAGGAAGTCTCACAGATCAAGACCTTGCTATAGACCTTTCAAGAAAGTATTCACAAAAGCGCTATATTTAACAAGAATGTTCGTAATAAGGTAAAACATCACAAACTCATTTTGAAAAACAGTATAAAATTAAATTTAAAAAGAACCTAACAGCTGTCTCTCGATATGAACAATTTCTATTATCTTCTGTATTTATCCTCAAGCCGTTCAAAATTCATTAAAAATAACAGCACCTTAACAACTAAGATCTGAGTAAATAAAAATTGACGTCGTAATATCTTAACTCCTGAATGATCATTTCACTGAAAAACATGAATAATATGTTTACAGAGGTCAGAAACCAGAAACTTGCTGTCTTTGGCAACAGTGACAAAGCGGGGAAAGTCCATTCCCTCGTTAAACGAGTTCACTTATGTTCCATCTAAAGAAGACACTTGAAGTCTGCTTTTATCAGGTTCACATACGATCAGATTATTAAACCTGTCAATGTTATGTCCAACGGGATGGTTCAGCTGTCCGTCACCAGATTCCTCCTTGCCAATTTAATGCTGAAGCTCTCCTCCTTTGTTGAACACTTTCACACAGTTAGCCGATACATAGGACACAAAGAACTTGTCCTCGTGATAAACGGCGTATGATGGGAAAGTATCACAGTCTGGCACATTAAAAGACTGTACTAATCCTGTACCGTGAGGGGTGAGTACCTTGACTGAATTATCTCCACGATCACACATGATCATGTGACGATCACTTCTAATAGACACGCTTCCCGATTTGTCGATTAATTAGGTGCTGACTGATGTGTTTTAATAAACTGACCATGTTCAGTACACAGGTACATTTCACTTGGTTGGCCAAACTGTGCATGAAGGACTATGACATCACTTAATGTCGTAAATGTCACTGCCGAAGTTTGTTGTTCTACTCTTTCACCACCAAGCCCCTTATTCTTTTCCTTATCGTTCTTCGATATTTCCACTCAGAATTAAGCAACTGACTCGCCCATTTAAATCATCTGCAATGGCAATGTTCCCTGTTCTTTCACTCACTGCAATGCTTTCTGGTCTTAAAAGCTATTGTGTATTAGGGTTCGATATACTTCTATAGAGTACTGCGTGAATCAGACCATGTGCTCTACACAACTGCTTTATTAGAATACCGATGAACTTAATATACAATGATATATATTTATATAATAAGCTCAGTTATGCACGCATTCTGATTGGTTCTCACTTATGATCTATTGGAGGACAGACGTATAGATGACGTCATCACTTAAACTTGTTTTAATTCTTTATTATATAACACAAATAGATTCCAAGTTGCCGTGCGTCTGTTCAGTAATAGATCACAAAGGACGTCAAAATGTGGTAAGAACATCAGTGACACTCGGCTGCGCCTCGTGTGCCACTTTTTTGCTCTTGCCACATTTTGACGTCATCTGCGATCTATTACTGAACAGACGCACGGCAACTTGGAATATATTTGTTAAATGGATAATCACGTGATTGTGGTTAAGGGTGTGGTAACCAGTAGAATAAAGATTATGTAATAGTTAAGGTATTTATCCAATAGGAACAAACACTACAAAAACTCTCCTGATCCTTTCCGATCTGATCTAAATGAATTAAGAGCTTTGTACTGATGAGCAGTCACCTGAACTCTCCATGGACTACCAGTCAGCGGCTTGCCGTTCACTTCGACGATTTCTCGTAAGCCAACACTCTTTGTGCAATCAAAAGCGTCAGAAGTGTCTCAAAGAGCCTGGGTACCAACGTCAGCCGACACAGGGAGCATAGCTTGTTGTCTTTTTGTTGGATAAAAATGTTGGCTCAACAGAAGCCATGGAAAGTTGCTATCATTGAAAATTGACAATAAGAATGGAAGTGAACCATCCCTTACAATAGTTTTATTAGATTGCATCTTGTTGTAAGGGGTTGGACAACCCTATTTAACAGATAAATAATTCTGCGGTGGTTAAAATGAAACTTCTCATAGAGGAAACTTGCCCATGAAGGAGTTGTAATGAATATAAATGAACAACCAAGAACAATACTGTGCAGCTCCGCAAATGATCCACGACCGCAAATTGACCCCAGCAGAAAATAGGGAGTGGCATAGATTGAGCAGTTCTTATGGGGAATGACGTGATAATGTAGTAAATCAAATATTTGTAGTTTCTTACATTTTTAAAAACTAGCAGTTTTTAAAAATATAAGAAACTAAAATGCATTGAAATCGCAATAGGCACACTTCAAGTTATAGAAAACACAGGTAATAGTCTTTAACACAAAAATGAAAACAAACTCTAACCTTCATATGGTGTTGTTTGTGTCATTTTCGTTGTCTAATAGCGATTTCAGGCCATTTTACGGAGTTATCGCTGAGCTCTCATCCCATTACTGCCTCTACTAAGAAAAACGTTAGCTGAGGTAAAGGACGCAAAAAGCTCTTCCTCGTGATAAACAGCCTAGGACAAGGAGTAGCACTCACTATCCTGTACCGTCAGGGGTGAGGACCTCGACTGACTTGTCGCCACCGTCACACACGATCATGTAGCATCACTTCTATTAATACAGTTTATAAACATCTTGGTCAGTATTAATACTGACCGAGATGTTTATAAACTGACCATTTCTTTTTCTTCGTTGACAAGACGGCTTATGAATCACGATGTATGACGTCACCAGATGCTGTAAATGCCACTGATCCTTGTCTCTGATCGTTCTTAAATATTAAAATTTTCAATCAAAAAATTTCGATGACCTCGAGCTCTTGTGGCCTTCAGGCGCTGATGAGTTTCAAAATACGCTGTTCACAAAAAATTCTGGGAAAAAAAGACCGTAGAAGGTCGCTGTGTTCTGTGAAGTTACATTTACAATAAATACTGTCGCTATGAGTCAGCAAAATACACTCTATTTTCTATAAGAACCTATTTCATAAGAACGTTTAGGCCGAGATTAACCAAAATTTTTGGAACTTACCATAACATACCTAGGCGGAGATTCAGTTAAGAACGGTTAATTTTTTTCTATAGGTGAGAAGTACAAGTAAAGGTAAAAGAAATGTAAATCTGTGATCTAAGAGGACAATTTACTCAAATACTTGCATTTGGTGATCTATGACAGCGCGGTTATACACTAAAGAACAATTCAGTTTGTAGTCGAACCCAGACTGGTCACGTCCAAACTGATTTATTACCACACAACTTTAAGAAAATGTTAAGAACGTTTCCAGGCTCAAATCGAAAAAGCAAATAAGAACATTAGGCCATAGCCCCAGAATTAGACGTTCTTTAAAAGAAAAAAAAAAAAAAAGAGTGAACATCAACAGTTGATGTTACTTCTTTTCATGACGGCTAGGAATCCATTTTTTTACCTACTTTAGCCACCGATAGTTTCCTTTTCGAAAGTGCATTTCAAGAAAATCGAGATTGATAGCAATGGACTATTAAGGGTTTATTATAATAAAGTGGAATTGCACATTCTTATACATTATGGACTGATAAGCTTTCCGAATAGGTTTGTCTTCGAGAACCCACGATTTGCGCTTTCCCTTCGCGAGTCGAGCTACAAAAGTGCGAGAAATGTTTCTAAAGCGAATCTCTTTTCAGAAATCACTTAATCACATAATTTTCCAACAAAAGTATACATGACTCTAAAATTTTATTGTCCTTCATAAAGAGCTTTTGGATCTAAGTTATTAACAGTTTTAGCCACATATCAATTCGTCCGTCATTTTCCTTTAGATCTCTGTAATTCAGCAATTTCCGCCGCTCGTTTTGTTGTCGAATCCACGGCATCAATGAAGCAGCTTCTAAATGCGGCTCTCTCCAAAGTCTGAATTCCAGCAATCGTCGTTCCACCCGGAGAACAAACTTCATCTTTTAACTAAAATATTTCAAACACAATTGTTTTGTGAGGGGCTTACAGGAGAACGTACATCGGATCAATATCAGTATCTGGGCAACTGCCCACTTACCCCTCCCCTAACTCAATAACAGTCAACTGATAACAACTTAGGGTTAATGTTGGGTTAGGGGAGGGGTAGGTGGGCAGTTGCCCAGATACTGATATTGATCCTGTACCTCTACGAGTTTACAGGCCCAAATGCATCACAGCTTTTAACCCTTTATGTCCCAAGATCTGATTGTTAACTCTCCTCACTACCTATTGCAAATTTCCTTGCACCCTTGTTTTTTGATCGAATCCTTTATGGACCACCCTTTTTCACTAAAAGAGTTGTATGCTGGATAACTTCTTTTAAGGCATTTTTAAATTTGACATCTTCATGGTCCACAAAATTGACAAACAAAACTTGGTCAATACCCAACCATGTTGACTTCAAGCTGAGTCAATAACACATATGTGCTATGATATACCTGAGCTGGATGTTTTCCTGTTTCCTGTACCAGCCGTGCTGCTCCGAGAACAGTCTGAGTGGCCAGATCTGTTGACAAAGCTCTTGGTAAACCCACCCTCACACCTCCATCACTCATTGCCTCAATGGCAAGGAAGAAAAAAGCCAGGGCACTTCCACCCACAGCAGTAATTGCATTCATCTGAGATTCTTTCACTTCCACACACATACCTGTGGTAAAAGGGATGCCTCAGTTAGCAGCACTAGTGGAATGTTGTTGCTAAAACTATGCATAATTACTGAATGCTTATGTTTTATTCTCAGAGGTCACCTACAGACGAAAAGCATTCTGAAGTAACAGTCTCAGTTTCTTCATACTAGCCACTATCCTCACAAAAACCTTCTTGCACCATTCATGGGAGTCAGAGTTAACAATTGGTAACAGAAAATGAAATGATAAGAACCCTGGTTTTCACTCTTAAGTCAGTCAGTCAACCACACAAAAGAGCACGATGGAACTTAACAGCAAAAAGCTTAGAAAAACTGTTCATCTCTCTGAGTTTCTATACCACCCTCCTCATTTCTCTGTTCTAAAGTTTGTCAAGCACAATTTGATTGAGTTGAAAGACTTAAGTGAAATAACCTTGGGCCTCACTTAACTTACACATTACAGTAAAGGAGATCTCAACAAAAGAGAAATAGTCTGTTGACACATCCATCAATTTTCCTACCACTAGTTTGAAGAAGTATTTTTATCAGTTGTACATCTGCTGCCGATGTGCACCTTCCTTTACAGAATGCCAAAGCACCACACTGCACAGAACAGGCCAAATTTGGGTTTGCTCGAATGACACAAGTGTTTGGTGGTAAACTCTAGACAATAAGGAATACATGACTACAATTAAAGATCAGGAAATTATAATGTGGTCATCATGAATATGTGCAGTATGTTACATATCAATGGCTTGTTCCTCACTATTGAAGTTGGTCAAGTGTTTGCCAAAAAATATTAATTCATGCATGGTCAATTGAATGTTTAGCTTCTAAATCCCTAAAAATTCTCCATTTCTTTTTACCTTTGGAGCAGGACATATTTTATAAGACACTAAAGTTATTCTGGTTTTTTGTCATCTAATTAATATTTAAATTGAAGTTGACTTTTGAGAGAAAGAAATTCTAGTTAAGGCAATAAATTAAACATGATTGGAAAATGAGTTTTTAGGCAAAGTTTTCACATAAATAGTAATTTACTTCTCTTAACACAACACAGGTTTTATTAGCTTCTAAAGTTTAAATTAGAACACATATGACCTGATTTGATTGTAACATTATATTATCAAATGTATTTGATCAAAATGTTCCCTTCACATTTAAATGAACAAAAAAACATTGAACTAATAGAAAAAAAAGAAAGAAATAGATAACAAATAAATGCATATTGAGAATTTCCGGTTTTACAAATACTGACAGTCAAGTAAGATAACTCTTAGTGTCAGCTGTAAGAGGAAGATCTGTTATCCATATCTTTATGTTTCTTTGTTGGGAGGTGTATTATAATTATCCCTTAGAAGGGGATAATTATGATATACAAAGGCTCTCTTTTCTTTGTTGCATTGTAAATGTTATGAATTGAAAAACACTCATGGCTCTCACCTCCTCAATCACATCTGTGGTAATGGCTGCAGCTACTGATACAACAAGGTGTCTAGATGTGTCAATGGAAGACTTGATCTCTTTTGCAACAGGAACTATTAAGTAAGGTTTTACTGCTAAAAACACCACATTTGAATTTTCAACAACTTGCCCATTATTCAGTGTTGTCTGACAGCCCATATCCTATAAAATAAGAAACATCAAAAGTTCAATTTTAAGCTACTATCTGCTAGCTCAAACGCAGGTACCACAGGGATGCAAATATTGATATATGTCACACTTGGTAACTTTGAATCTCTTAGTGACATGAATTTCTTTCCTCTAAATTCATCTTTTCACATTTTACCCTCAGAAACTACACCTTTTTCGATTTCCCATGACTGTATTTTTTTTTTTTTTGGCAACTGGGGTTCCATTTGCGTGATTAATGGAAGCATTTAACAGATTCACAAAACAACAAATCTTATTAAAAGAAGGAAGCAGGTAAAAAGAGGAAATTATACGTTGCTCCTCTGAGCAACTCAGTAATTGGGATACAAGCATACATGATATACATTGGTTTATAAAGCCACTCTGTGGGCTTAGAACAAAAGACGACAATGATAATAATGATGGTGATGAAGATAACCTTTCCCTCCTACAGGTCGCTGATGAAGATTTTAATTCTTATCGTCCTTAAGAATCCTTATTGCACTATTGTAAACTGGAAATCCACATTTTGGCAGCCTTCTTGTGACAGGATAACGAGGTTGCCTCTCGTGGTAGGGAAAAGGGATTAAAATTTTCACAAATTTTTACTAGCACTGATCGATCGTAGTTTAGATAACACGTGCCTGAGTACCTAGCTAGATTTTAATTTAAAAGAGGACAAACTGTCTCACCTTCCAGACAGCCAGCGTTTTTTCCGTGGTAGCACTTGCGATAATGTTACTTGCTCTGACGGTGTTTGTCGTTATAAATCCTTTGGCTAATGCTCTTGCCATGGTTCCGCCTCCGATAAATCCAACCTTTAGTTCGTCCGCCATATTGAAATGGTTTTCCCCAGGTGCTCTCTCCCTCTTTGGCGAGTACCTTTGGTAGTTTCCAGTTCCCTCTCTGCAATCACTCGAGAGATCGTGAAATGTGCACCAAGGATCAGCACTGAAAAGATTGAGGTAACTAAAGAGACCAAAAAATCGGAGATTTCCAGAATCAGAAAACAAGGAGATCGATTTCTCAGCAAGCGCAAGGAAAACGATCCATAAGGACGAGAAGGAAAACGTCATTCGACGTCAGTCACTCGTCAATCTACTTTTAACATTCTATTGGTTGATTGTAACTGCAAGCTAAATTTTGAAACACAAAAAAATTGACCAATAGAAAACTTAAGTTACTTTCATTCGAAGTTGAATGCGTACTTCAGTGAGGCAACCTCAGGATCGGAAAAGAAGCTAATATTTCTCAAGCATTCACTTGTCCATCTCTTTCCTAATAATGGGTTGTGCGTCCTCGTTTTCACAACCTAAATTCAAAAGTGATATTCCAGCTAAGACGACGCTTTTGCTAACAACGAAACAGAAGGAGCTCATTCGGAAATCATGGAAACTGCTTCATAAGAGAAGGGCTGAAGTCGGTGTCAAAGTTTTCCTGACGTAAGTGTGACAAATTAATGAAGTAACAGACTACTTGAATACGGTTATTTTATTTATCTATTTATTTTTAATTTTTTTTGCAAGTAACCAGAGTTCTTATAAGCTAAGAGTGAATAATCTTACGATAAACGAAAAAAAAAACAACAACAACAACGAGTTTACACTCCGAGAATTTGCTGTGGTCTGGAGTTATAAAAACTGAAAATGTAAACTTTTTTTTAACATCTTTCTAAAATCACATTCATCCGTCTATGATTTATTTATTTCAGCACTGTTAGTCGTCCGGCATATCTGTTGTCAGTTTTATGATAAGCTGATGATTATGGACAATGAGCACATTAGACTTAGGATCAATAGACTCTGCATAAGTCATTTTTTCTAAGCAAGTCTCTCGTCGGTAAAACTGCATTTAGAATTTAAAAGCTGTATATCATTACCCATTTGATGAATCCTTAACAAGAAAAAAATACTGAATATGCCAAAATTATTTTTATGCTATTTTGCTTGCTACTTTGACTACGTAGAAATTAAAACTTTCTTATTTTGAGTAAGCTGTGTCTGGAGGCGATAAATATACATTTATTTTTACGCGTAAACCTTCCTTTATCAGGCTTGTAACTAGGAGCGAGAACAGAAGAAAGTCATCAGTCATCTGCTACTGTTGCTTTCAATTTCTTTAAAATTTAAAGTGAATAACACCAAGAATATATTTCGTCTGCTAATGGGTGTATGATTGCAGGATATAAACTGGCAATGCTACAAGAACATAATTCAATTAGTGTTTGTTGTATATATTGTTTTGATTTCACTGATATTCCCTTTCGTAAATTCAGGCAAATAAAAAAGACTTTAAAAACTTTTATTTATACGTGATAAATTTACCTTTTTTTCAAAATTTCGGGATGCAAGCATGATCACACGTGCTTGCTACAAAATAAGCTTGCCAATGTATTCAGAAAGTGCATCCTGTCTAAATTATTGCCTCAGGCAGATGGGTTAGTTCGAGAGAGTACGTCATCAGTCAAGTGTAATAACTAGTGCGATTGTGTCCGAACCTATCATGAACTCAACCTCAACCCTGTCACCGCTGAGAAAGTAAATATTAGTCATTTTCAGCGCCACGGTTGGAGAGGAGATGACTTTCCATTTTAAGTTAAGAATACCGCGGGGGATAGGATACACAAATTGTATATAAAGTGCAACATAATTTGAGCGTGATTCGTGCACTTTACCACGTTTTTAGAGAACAGCCACCAAAGTTTATCGATTCAATGAGAGAGTCAGAATCACAAGATCAGTTTGGAGATGAACGTCCAGTTGGGGAAAAAGTGTTTTTTTGTGAGATTGGGAAAGCAAACTGAAACCAAATTATGGTTACTTGAAACAAAAGCGGCGGCCGCTTTTGGCGAAATTGGTTTCACGCCACTCTCATTTTTAGTGGAAAATAAAGGATTAGGGCTTATAAATCAGTTAACTAGATTGCATTTTAAACAAAAAAGAATTCTTCTCAAGTTTTATCTGTGGTGTTTTGTGTGCTGTCGTGAAAAACTGTGTAACTACTGAAAACAGCCGATCACACTAATATCAAGAATATAAAACAATGCATTTCAGAGAAGGCAGTGAAGTCAAATGACGAATGCTTCTTTAATTATGTAACTTATTAGCTGAGTTTTAACTGTTCAACATGAGACAATGAAAAGATCTTGGAACACTGATAACAAAATTTTCGAAAGGCAATTTTTACGCACGCTCTTGCTTGCAAAGTCTCAAAGCGCACATGCGTCGGTTTATCTGATGTGCTCATGTGAAGTGGTCACAGCCAAACGTCGAATCCTTTTGATTTTTCTTCAGACTTTTTGAAGACGATCCAGGATTACAAAACATGTTCGCAGAATTCAGAGAGGTGAAACTTGAAGAGCTGGTGCAAACGCGAGAGCTTCACGGACATACCGAAAGAGTGATGCGTGCCGTGGAGAACTGCGTTAACGCGATGGATGACCCAGACTCTTTGCGAGCTTATCTGACGGAGCTGGGAAGGAGACACGTATATCGATCAGTTAAACCAACTGTAAGCAATGTAAGTATGGCGTTTAATGCTTTCTCTCCCAGGAGTGACCAAGATATAATTTCTCCTCACAATTTCAATGCAATATTAAGAAGCCAACTGACGAGAATATCAAAAAATATAATAAAGCGATTATCCCCAAAAACTCAGAATAAACTTTACAAGAAATGTCAGGCAGACATTAAGGAGAATTGTCGTTGAGATATTGGGAGTGGAAAGGTAGACAATCTTGAAAGGCTGAGATATTAGGTAAGAAAGGCGCGGGGTAAACGTAACGTCAACCTCGTTTCCAGATCGAAAGAGATGTCTCTAACACGAAACGAGAAAGCTAACATTTCATTTTACCGATCAGCTTAGCATATTTCACTGCAGAGTCACCTTTCTGCGATTCTAGCTGGTGCGCACCATGCACTTGAGTAGTACACTAAGTCAACTACAGGCCAACTGTGTTTTTTCCTTCACTTTTTTTCCTCTTTTCACAACAGCTTCACCTGATTTCCAAAGCGTTGATTTCAACCTTTAAAGAGACCATTCAGGACGAGTGGACTCCTGAACTAGCGGCAGCCTGGGAACTACTGTTGAATTATTTCACTCTGATGTTGAAGGAAGGAATACGTTCGACAGTTGATTGACACACAGACATGTTCTTCCTCTTTCACTCAGGAAAATTAACCCTCTGCGTTGAAATTTAAAAATTGAAAGTCACGATAATTCATCTTGGAACGAATCAAATCGTCTGTTAAACTTTCTCTATGGTTGACTTCACAACTTGTGGTGTTTGCGCCTTTTGTTTGTCTGCCCTGTTCACGCGTGTAAAAACCAGTTACCAAAAAACACACAAATAAGCGGAGGTAGTTGATTTGATTTAATAATTTAAACCACGAAATTTGCACATTATCCATTTTAAAAATACACATATAAAGAAGTTTCTGATTTATGCGAAACGTTTTTATCTTTTAACTTGATAACATGGCACTACTCTACTCTTCTGAATAGACCTTCACGTTAATTAAATTTTCGACGTTTCTAATGCCATCAATTCACAAGAACGTAGAACGATGCGACGCGAGCAGTGCATTGAGCGCAATTTGAGTGAGTGAAGTAAAACGAGAACCAAAGTAATTGTACCAGAGCCAGTTAGAAGAAAGGCGCTAAAAGGTGAACCAATGACAGCTGCTTAGGGCGCTGGGAAACGCTAATGTACGTCGCTTTTTCAGGACCAATCATAGCGCATAATGACGCGAAACCAAATCAATCCCGGATCACATTCGACACCCACTTAAAAATTTCTCTCGTGAGATTAATCTTGAAACATAATACTTTATAACTTGGACAAACGAAATACCGAAAATAGCTGAATATATAAAACGTTTTAAGTTGATGAATTTTTTTAAACTTTAACTGATAATTCGTCGAGCCGATGGAAATTCGTGCGGGCTGTTTATCAATGGAATAAATTATAACAAAATATCCACTCTTCGATAATTGTTAATCTCTTGAAAAAAAAACTGCTTTAATTGACAATCGGCCACTCTCCTGAGAGGTCGTCTTTAAAGAGTAAGCACGGGTTCAAATTTTCAACGTCAATTTGTTCGAAGCACGATTCGCACCAATTCATAATTAAATACCATCAGAGTAAAGTTTCTGTGTGGAGCTAACTTTCTCAATCTTGTTTCGAACTTTGAATTGGTGACTTTAAAGTCGGAGTGCTATGTACCACTAAAAAGGATATAAGCCAGAGGTTGGTTGTTCAAATGGCGCTTAACATTAGTCCCGAATTGAAACTAAACCTTGGAAGTTTGCCTCGGTGTAAGAGTCCGTAAAGTTTTTACTATTTTGTTTTGTGAATATCATTTCCTAAGCTCTATCTTGTTTTTATTTCTCTGTTTCTTTGTTCGCTTCTCGTGAATGTGAAACGGGTTCTTTTGCCGAGAATGAGCCAAGCTTGGTAGAGATGCTCTCTTGTTACAAATTAAACATGCTCATTAGAGCTAATGTCTTGCCAATTTTGTCTTAAATTAACGTAAACTTGCAGGAAACGAAATAATTATACTTAAACTGTCTATAACATCACAAAGTTTCACACAAACCCTGGGTTAGTTTAGTCGCCTTTTGAAAAACCCAGTCCATGTTTTCAGGGGTAAGTTCTGTTTAAAATGAAGCATAAACGCAAGCGAATCCAGTTCGTGTTGAGTGACAATAAAATATGCATTACCCTTCGTAAAAGTTTCCTTAATTCGTTGAAAATTGTCAAAAGATGATGGATCTCGTTCTACTTATAGCCCAGCGCAACGCAAACGAAAAGGAAAAAACTTGGATTTGCAGATTCTTATACATTTGCTAATAATGTCCAAATCGTGAAAATGAAAATAGCTGTCCTGTTGTTTTGTGCTATAGCTGAAGAAACTAGTACGTTGATCTTAAAAGAGGCGCTCGCAGAAACGTGTTTAATTGACGAGAGGAGCCATCGATCACAGTCTGTTTTGGTTGGTAAAAATGAACCAGCTATTGCAATCCCTTTGGCACACAGCCAAAGGAGCACCCTTTCTCGGGCTTGCAAAATTTAACCAAAAAAAAAAAGATTAGTAACCAGGTTTTTTTTCGGTTCAGTCACTGTATTCCTCCTCTTCACTCTCTCCGCTCTCGTCCAAGTCGTCTTTGTCTTCTTCATCTGAATCAGGATCCCATTGTTTGGTATCAACTTCTTTAGCTTCTTCCACATTAATCTGAAAAAGTTTGTAGAAATAAGTTATGCCGATGTCTTTTATGCTCGATGAAACTGAATGTTCTTCAGCCATTCCCCATTCGGAAATTATTAACATCCAACATCTGTTTACCGTTTTGGATTGCGTGCTCTTATGCTCCAACACTGATCTACAGGGAAGTTTATGGTTAGCTTCGCCATTATCGTTAACTATTTCAATCATTCCTGTAGCAGAGGCATCATTGAACACACTTAGTAAAATTACTTACGTTAAAATTTTGATGAACGTCCAAGTCCAAGTAAGAGTCTGATCGTAGAGTGACAGTGTAATGGTACGTTTTGGCTTTGTACGGTGCTTGAAACTTCAGATCCAGCTGGAACGAGAAGCAACAACAGTTTATAATTAATCTATGTGCAAACATCTTCGTTTTCATTTTCGAAATCTCCAGCAGGAAGCATGGACACATAAAATTGTTAACGTTTTCGTCTCCAAAGAGAATGACTTTGAAATGAATTTTCTAGATTAAATATAAGTTCTTGTTTTAAGTTTCAACGATGATGTAATTGATCCTTAAGCGATCGTCAAGTTTGCTTGGTAAGAAACAATTTGAATTCGTGAAAACTTTTCTATTATGGACGTGATTTAGTTTTAGGTATTCTTACGACCATTCAACAGTTCCGCACACCCAGCGATTAAAAGGAAGGATTCTGTCATTTGTTGGTGCAAGAATGGGTGTGTAGAGTCAGAGATCACACAGATACCTTTTCTTCGTCTTTAAGGTTGCATATCATTTGAGGCCGTGTTATTAGCTCTCTTCTTCTGCGATCTGTGACATATATCCACCACCATTCATGCTTTTCCTGTAAAAAAATTGCAAGAAAAACAGTGGAACTAAACTTATTTGTGGGATTTAAAGATAACGTAATTTTTCTAGGAGGAAACAAAATTCAATTCAAGTCAAACCTCTGGAAAATAAGGCGCATGGACGATATGGCTTTCTTTTGACTTCGGATCCAGAATTGCATCTCGAGTCCTAACTTCGGCTTGCAGTCGGTCCCACTCGGCTTCATCTTCAGAATCCCGAGCGCTAACATCATGTGGAGCGTAGCTGTCATCATCTTCACCAGAACTAAGAGGAAAAGAAAAGAAGCCAATTAAGTTCTCAAGAACAATCTTGGCTTTTAATCAAAACGTGTATTTTTCTGTCATCATACCAATATTTTCTAGTTTTCCCCAAAGGAGAAGGTAGCTTTACAGTTCCAGCGAGAAAAGAGCCACTATAGCGAGACTTTTTTCAAAATACCTGCTGCTATCCAAGTCAGATTCCTGCTCATCAGGTTTTCTTCTTTCTTTCTTAATTTCTTCAATTTTCTCGTTCGTAGTATCATCATCAGTTTCATCATTGTCTTCCTCGTCGTCCACTTCTTCCTTCTCTGCTTCCACGTCCAGTTCTTCCTTCTCCGCTTCCACGTCCACTTCTTCCTTCTCCGCTTCCACGTCCTCATCCTCCTCCTCTTCCTCCCTCTCTTCTTCTTTCTTGTTCTTGTTCTTGTTCTTCTTTTCATTTGATTCTTCTTTTTCTTCTATAGTTTTCTAAAGAATTAATAGACAGAACAGCGAATTGAAATAATTACTAAGTAATTTTTTTGTCATTCCATCGTGTACGTTCCAGAATCACATGAAAGTGGCGAAATTTTCAAGATGAGACACAAGAATTGAAAAATTCGCGACTGGATCGGCCAGAGGTTATCATGGAAAGACTTAGAAATAGCGGAAGAAAGAAGTAAAAGTTCCCACAGAGTCATTTTCGATCACCGCACATGAGGATAAGCAAACCTGATCCTAGAAATAAGCACAACAAAAACTGAAGATTACTTGTTTTATAAAATGTCAACTTTCTACGTGGAAAAATTCCCACAGGTTCTCTACACTTCAGAGACAGGGCATATAACACACAGTGTGTACAACGTCACTCACTTTTTTTTCTTTGCTCCGACCTCGCAACAAATGAATAAGATATCTTACTTTACGTCATCATTACTTTCAAAGTCACCACGCGAAAGCTCATCTTGATTTATCGATATTTTACCTCTTTCTCATCCTGTGAGTTTTTCTTTTTAGGCTGTTGTTTCACGGGTTTTTTCTTGGGTTGCTTTTTTTGTGGTTTGGCCTTTTTCCCTTTCTTTTTGTTTTTCTGCCATACTTTGTGACCACCAGGTTGTGGTGAGCCCTGTTAACAAACACGGGATGGATTACTACCAAACTTAATTTCTTGACGAAAAAACATTCCCATTTCCTTCCCCCCCCCCCCTTAGTACCCATTGTAGAGAGCGTATTACTATATAATAAAAATTCAGCAACTAAAGCTGTAAATGTACTGTTACTTCCCACGAATGAGATGCTAAACGGTCACAATTTCACCCCCCCACCCCTCCATGTTATTAAGTTTCTGTGATAGTCCGCTGACACCGTCTCCACTCATTCATTAAATCGTTAGTCGAGAACAGCACTGTGACAGTTTAACATTCCACCGAGCATACAGTTTAATGAAGGAAGACCAGGCCATGACATGTTCCTCTTGATACGAAGTCCAGCTCACTAACTGTTGGACCACTTAGTTAAAAAAAAAAAAAAAAGAGAGAGAGAGAGAGAGAGAGAGATATATATATATATATATATTTTCCATAAAAAAGTACCTTTGGTTCTAAAGTTTCACTTGGATTCACGCCATTTAGTAGTGGGACATCACCTTCGTTTTCCTTCTCGAATAGCTCCTGTAAAAGTGGAACTAAACAATAAGAAGGGTAGGAATTCTCTCTCACTAGCCTCTGAAGAGGGGGGCTTTGGGGTCTATTATCAGCTGGAAAACCATACCAAAAATCATCCAAAACCGCAAAACCGCAAAAAAAAAAAAAAAAAATTGAATC